AGTATTGACTACCTTATTACTACGGTTTATGTAATATCCTGTAAAAAAAAAGGTGTATACAAGTCTCCCTATTTGAGTGTTCACCCGGTTTAAAATCGTGGATCTCGAGGAACACACGAATTCATTCGACCAATCAAAAACGTGGAACTAGTTCGAGAGTCTCGTTCAGGTGGCGCGTCGACGCGCCAAAACACAGCTCCAGATTATCACACGTAGTATTACTATATATACACGACCAATTAAAAACGTGGAACTGCTTCGAGGGCCCTCCGCTAAGGTGGCGCGCCGAAACCAGAGAAAAATTGAGACCACCAAAAACAGGCTCATTGGCAATCTCCCTACTCATCTCTGATCGTTAGTTAACGATATCGAGAATTGTCGGTTGAGAGTTACAGAATCCCGCCACAGGACCAATCAGGACGTTTCATCGATTATCGTTTTTTTTTGCAATTGCAGTCAACTTCAAACTGTCGACTGCGTGTCTCGACATTTTCGGTACTATTACAAATCATCGTTAAAACTTTCTAGATCATCTACGAATTTTTATTAACTTCCTGCTGATTGTCAAGTAGCTAAGGTACTTGATTAGGATATATCTAATACTTTTTTTATGTTTTTACTGGCTACAAATTATGGGCTTGAATGTATTAGTCAATAGTATTTCTTAATAGCAAATGAGTCTGCATATTTCTACTGAATATTATATGCATTCACTGATTATTTTTTATCGGTATATTATTTAGCGCAGTCTTATTGTCCAGAAAATTGCAATTGTGTTTAATTGATAATTATATATATGGTATTTATTCAGTGTCAATTTATTGTTTAATTATACAATTTTTGTAAGTAAAGTGCAATTCTAGTAGCATATTATGAAAAAAGAAACTTATAATAGAAATTCTCATTAGTGTTGACTATAGTAAAAATATGTTAGGGATAAATTACAGTTTGGAAGTATCTGTTTTTTACAATTAATAATTGTAAAACCATCAAATGTAAATATGAAATTAATATACTATGGTAATATGATATAATGTATTTAGTATTACAGTAAATCTATTTCATAAACATGGAAGATATCCCAGTACAACCTGGAAGTACTCAAGCTGATTTTATTCAAAATGAATTAAACTTTGATATTGACCCAAAAGATCCAATGACAAATGCTGACCTGAAGGACCCAGTAGAAAATGAATGGATTGATATACTTATGAATGGACAGTTACGTAGAAAAATTATAAAATTAGGTGAAAAAGGCAATCGACCAAATGCATCAGACATATGCACTTTGAAAATTATTGGGAAATTGGAAGATGGTACTGTTGTTGAAGAATATGAAGAATTAACGATACAACTTGGAGATATTGAAGTTATTCAGGTTTGATGCAAATTATTTATAATAATTGGCATAATATTCTGGTGTTTATAGAATTTGTATATGCTAATATTATTCACACAGGGTTTAGATTTAGCAATTGCATTAATGAATATTGGCGAGATTGCTGAGGTTGAGGTGGGCCCAAGATTTGGTTATGGAGACATTGGAAATAAACCAAACATCCCAGGTGGTGCTAAAATCTTTTATACTGTGGAACTAAAAGCAATAGAACTTGAAGTAGATCTTGATCAGCTCTCAGTACACCAAAGACAAGAAATTGGGTATGCATTACTCCTAATATTTATTATATATACATTAGGAAGCAAATTAAAAATGTACTGATAAATTTGAAATTAGAAACAAGAAACGGGAACGTGGAAATTGGTGGTACATGCGTAATGAACCTACACTAGCTATTCAATGCTATCGAAGAGCATTAGAGTACTTGGATGATACAAACGGTGGAATTAGTTACCAGGAGAAGGAAGGTGATCAATTTGCAAGTGATGCTGACTTGCAAGGCCTTCTAGAAGACAGAATGAAAGTCTATAATAATTTGGCTGCAGCTCAAATGAAATGCGACGCTTATGATTCGGCCCAAAGAAGTGTGGAAAACGTTTTGAGATGTCAACCACAAAATGTAAAAGCTCTATTCAGAAAAGGTAACCTCAGAAGGAAACCGCATCATCTGTCTTTGTAGTCAATTCTACAAAGAGATAAATGTATTATTACTTTTTTTTTTTAGGAAAAATTTTACACGTACGAGGAGAGCACGCTCAAGCTTACGCAATGTTGCAGCAAGCAGCAAAATTAGATCCTGAATCAAAAGAAATACAACAGGAATTAGTAATTCTACAGAAAAAAAATGCAAAGGATGCACACCGAGAGAAAAATCTTTATCGTAAAATGTTAGGCACAAGCAAAGTAAATGGTGTGGAACTTAAGAAAACTGTAACTGAAAGTAAAAATAAGAATGTGGCAAAAGTCGCGTGGAGTCTTATTGGTGGAGCAGCTGTAGCTCTTGCGGGCATCTTCGCCTACAGATATACTTCGTGAGCCAATTAATACAAAACAAAAGATTACGGGATTCAAAAAATGATCAGTGATAAATATTTGTATAGCATAACCTGTCTTGTTCCTGATCATTATTTGATTCCTTCAAATTTACGATAATATATGTTAATACTTGAATTAATTTATAAGTGGGAGGTTATTCGATTTTAAACTTTTTAACTGACATGTCCAAAGTAACTACTCAAGCGATTGAAGAAAATAAGAGAAAATTCCATCTTGTTAATTGTACTACAGTGTGATTTGCTCTTTCAAAATTGGGGCTCAATCGACTATTAATTAAATAACTTGTATTTTGTGACTGATGATGTTGCATTTGTCTTCTATTTTTTTTAATTGTTAATATTTATTTTTATCAGAAACATTCGTGCAACTCTTGAACATGAAACTTTTTATGTTTGTCATAATTTTTGTTTAAAAACTTGTTAAATTTCAGTACATATTTATTTTGAAGAACAGACATTCCAGACATATATTACAACTCTGACATGAAATATTTTGCTTAATTATTGTATGTTTATTTAAAAAAATAAAATTCAGATGTATCTTATTCTCTTAAAGATATCCAACATAACAATACTGTAACTATACATATACAACAGCAAGTACTATACATATTTGACAAATGCGTAAGACTGAAAATACGTTTAGACGAAGGCAATAAAAATGTAGTAAGAGTATTTCTTATAAAAATGTATTAATCTGTTCATTTTTAGATAACTAATACTGAACGTCTTTCATTACTGCAAAGTGTCATTGCAAAATAGATTTTCTACTACTATACCATGGAATTGTGTCCTATTACACAATTCTCGTGATAACTCTATTTAAAATCTTAAAAAAAAAAGAGAACCATTTTTTAGTAGTGTAGGGGTTCCAGATACAAAAATAATAGAAAATTCTTTAAATACATATAAGCTCCGTTATTAAGTATAAGAAACAAGATGTATAATTACATTTCTCATAAAGAAAAAGATTAGAAGGAGATCTTTAAGATTTTTATAATCTCATAATTCGAGGGCATTTATCTAAAGATTCAAAAACGGTGGAAAAGGCTGCGTAAGATAATTTTCAATCGTAGGCAGCGAATCCATTTTGCTACCGTTAGGGTCCAGCAATAGCGGAGACTCCGATACATTCTCCAGTGGTAATTCTGAGTAACTTGAATGATCGTAGTAACTTTGGTCTGCATTTTGGAAGCCCAAATCCTGATATCCTGATAATCCCAGCATCTCATTACAATTTGTCTCAAATTGATCTACCAGGTCATTTAAAGGTAATGTGTCTGGATTGGCAACTTCCACAGTAACAACTTGACCAGAATTGATATCTACCAGTGACAGAAATTGTGGCATCATATCCACCACCGGTAACAAATTGGACATTTGTACTGAAATTCCTGCACTCTCAGTAAGAGTTCCAGTGCTTGAAAAGGAGTGTGTATGCTGCAATTCAACAGATGAAGACTTTACATCAATTTCACTAGCAATGGAAGACTTGTCCACCGAAACTGTAGTATGTGGATTGGTATTCACTTGAACTTCCTTTTTCATCTTCATATTCTTAACTTTTGGCTGCTTTGGCTTTTCTATTATAGGTACCAGTTGACCATCTTCAGTTTTCATTAGCTTTACGACCTAAATTATAATTATTGTCTCAGACTACTTTATTGGGGTTATGTATTTAATAGCAATTATTTATTTATGTTATTGCATTCCTTACCTTTTTTTTCCTCTCCATAGTAATTCTATGACAAGTCTCCATGTGTCGGGTAAGATGATGGGATCTTTTAAAAGCAGCACTACACTGGCTGCAAGCAAATGGTCTAACTTCCTGATGTGACAATTTGTGTCTACTTAATAAACTATTTCTCTTGAATGCTCTACCGCATTCTTCACAAATAAACTGTCTCTCTTTATTGTGCACATAAAGCACGTGATCATTTAAAATGCTAACACTTGTGAAAGTCTTGCCACAATGTTCACAAATAATATTTCTCATCTCTACATGCAATTGTCTGTGCCTATCTAAGTCACTTTTATTAGTGCAATTAAAAGTGCAACCAAATGTATTGCATGAAAATTTTTTTTCATCTTTATGTACACGTCGTATATGTTGATCACGAGCTCTTCGCGTTGTTAATTCTTTCGCGCAAACAGGACAGCTGAATATACCTTCAAATGGGACCTCATTATTGGCTTTACTAAGATGAAGAGCAGTTTGCAAATGACGGAAATAACTGTCCTTTTTAATGAATCCGTGACGGCATTCAGCACAATAATATAAACCTGAAAACCCAGTTTTATAAATAAACGGGAGTTATTTGATTGTAGAATAAAATGATTTACCATTCTTCTCTATTTCAAGGGCCTTTGGTTTTGCAGAATGAGTTAATTTGAAATGCTCATTCGCCCTCTTTTTAGATGCAAATGTTGCATCACACTGAGGACATTTATGAGTATCATGATTCTGAACGTGAATTAAATATGTTTGTTCCACATTAAAGGCTTGTGGGCATCGATCACATTTGAATTCCTTTTCATTATTATGTCTCTCCATATGTTCACGAATTGCCGCTTGAGTTTTTAACATTTCACCACAGTTTGAGCATACTTTACCAGTTTCATATTGATGTTTTGCTCTGTGACGATTCAGGAGTATCCGCTTTGGGAAGCTTCGCGAACATGCGTCGCATAAATGAGGATACTTCATTACTTTTTCACCGTGAGCACGAAATAGATGCACATCCAGGTGTTTACGTCGCGCAAACTTTGCACTGCAGTGAGGACAGTTATTCTTCAGATGGCCTTCCAAGTGTCGGTCTAAGTGTCTTTTGTATCTGAATGTCATTGGGCACTGAGGACAAGTCTTTACTTCTTCTTGCAAATTATCTAAATCATCTAACTTCATATGTTCTTTGTTCTTGAGTGATTGTCCATCAAGATCAGAGTCTCTTTCTAAGTCTGTATCAGAATACAATTCATTGTTTACAATTTTTTCACAATCTTGTACATCACTTTCACTGCTTGTGATTTCAAAACTTTGACATTTATGTCCTTTAGGAAATAAACCTGTTAAGGTACATGAAGATGAAACTTCAAAATCATCATATAGTGATCCAGATACTTTGTTAGAATTACAAAGAGAATTTGTAATATCCGGATGTAAAACCTTTAATGTTTCTATGGAGTTTTCCATAATACATAGAGTTGCATTGTTCATTTTAATATCACAGCTTTTTTCAGTATTTACCGAATTTTCTAGAATTATATTGTAATTATCAAATATCAATTTTTTATTGTGATATTTTATATTGTCATTATCTTCTCCATGCATCTTTTCTACATTTTCAAGGTTTTTAGATTGTAGAAACATATTTCCCATTTTAATAAAATTAATATTCAGAGTAGATATTTCAGAATCACTATTCTGATAATTATCATCAAAATTTTCCAGTTGTAGGTCAGACCTTGATCCATTAACAGACTCTGGGGATAAATTTACCCCAGAATCCTTACTTTCAAGACTGCTCATACACTCATGTAGATAATTAAAGTTAGCAGCATCATCATTTTTTGAAGAAATACTTTGCATTGCTTCCAACATTGAATCATCCTAAGGAAGTTAAATAAGAGTTAAAATAATTTAAACTAATAATTAATTCTTGTATATATACATGTTTGATCTAAATATTATCTAAAATCTGTGATTATGTCACAAGAAGTATGTAATCTAGAAAATAAGGTAAAATGGAGGTATTGAGTCAGTAGACTAAATCAAAAATATTTGAATATTCAAAGAGAATCAAATAAAGAAATTAATGAAAATTCAATGATCATACCTGATTGTCAAACATTGGAAGCGTCATGACTTCAGATTGTTGACTTTCGTCTACGGACATTGTTTGAAAATTCTTAAAAATTGCACGCTCACATACGTAAGATAATGGAGAAAATATGACGTAATATGATAACTTTCTAACTTCCCTTAATTATTTTCTTTTGATTGTCTGATGTAGTATCTTTTCATAGCTCTCAAAAATAATTACACAGCGGATGTATAACCTGTAAAAGCATAGGTATATCTGGGTACATCAGCGGAAAACTTGATGAAACTCGAATCTTTCCACCAATGAACATCGTATATTCACGGTTGCTTAGCAACTCGAAGTTCCTATAAGACCCACATTTTTACAATTTCCCAAGGTTCTATAATAATTATATGATAAATATTTAATAAAATGATATTTTAAATACTTATTAAAACATGATAGAAGTATATCAAATATTTTCGGTCGATAATTATTTAGTGAATTATGCGAATTACTGTAAAATAAATTTGGTTACTACATAGCTTGGAAAACATATGTTCATAGTTTCATATCTCTGGAATTTATTAAAAAATGTACACAGAATAATTATTTGTCGAAGATAATTTTTAGTCAATAGTTATTTTTCATATTCTTTGAAATACACTATTATACTACGCCGACGTATAGTGATTCCTATCAACATATAAATTTTTGCAAATTGAGTAAACAGGGCAGAAAATAACACGGTGGCTTTTGATGAAGCTGTAAACTGTTACTTATTATGCGCCATTGAAAATTGAATGACGTATATTTCCGTGAACTAGTAGTTTGTCGTTTGTGAATGAAATTTACTTATATTTTTGTATCATCCTGAGAGTATTGACGCTTTAAAGGTTGGAGTATTATGCATCTAACCCATTTCATCTGTCCAGAGGTTGCTAAGGAGATGTAATTATTAATTAGTACTTCATTTTGTTTCAGGATAATCATATTTATAAGATAAAAAAGGTGATAAACAGCTAATACTCTTATAATAATGACTGAAGCTTTGGAGTCACACAGCAAAGAGACAAGTATTACTGCGTTAAGTGAGCAAGAGCGTGATCTAGCTCAAAATGCTCTCATAGAATTCCAAAAGGGTACATATTCTGTGTGTTTATCCTATTTAAATAAGCTAGAGACATTGAGACCTAAAGACCTTAAAGTCATGCACAATAAGGTTGTCGCTGAGTATTATAAAAGTGATCTAAAAAAAACAGAGTTAATAAAAAAGAGTTTGAAGGCAATATGTGGTCATATGTCCATACCAGATTCATCTGAGGCTATGGATGATGTTGAAAAATGTGTTATGCGGTATAATGAAGCTGTCTTACTTTATCATACTAAACAGTATAATGCTGCTTTGCAAATAATGAATAGATTATTCACTTTTATTGAACCTATGGGTAAGATTTAATTTTAAGTTTAACTAATTATTTAATTATATTTACTATTTATATTGATATATGTTTATATTTTTCAGAGGAGAGTTTGGCCCATAAAGTCTGTTTGCTTTTAATAGAATTACATATAGTAACTGATCAGCCGGATGCTGCACTGTCTCTACTTAATTATATTGAAAGTCAGTTTATATCAATAGATTCATCCAAAATATCAGTGACAGATAAAGAAGGTCCGATAAAACCAATAAAGGAACTGAAGGAACAAAAAAAAGGTAGCGCTGATGCAGCAACGGATGCTTTTAGAATAAAATTACTCAAGTTTAAGGCAAGAATTTACCTCATGATGCATCAGTTAAAATTATGTAAAAGGGAATGGAAAACATTAATTTCTTTGGGGACACCTGTGGTAAGTATTCAATATTTTTTAAAAATATTTCTGTCTCCTATAATGCCAAGGTGTTTTTTCAGAATATATCCTCAATATTTCTAAAAGCCAATCTCGAATATCTACGTGGAAACTCTAAGAAGGCTATGAAGATTATGAATTCAATCACCACAGAAAATCTGGAATTTAAGTATGAGAGCTTTAGTAATTGGCTTTATCTTTATAAATTGTATATAAGTTTTACTAATTTTCTAGAACGTGTGGTGAATCTGCAGCCGTTTTGTATTATAATAATATAGCATGTCTTTATCACTCAATGGGCAAGCCAAATTTGGCATGTTTCTACCTTCAAAAAGCATTACAGGAAAATAAGAATGCCATGGACAGTGTTCGAGTAAAAGATAATGGTATATTTTTTAACTATGATTGAATGAAGTTGAAAAACGATATCGATTAAAGCCAATCATTTTATTCCAGATCCCTTATCCTGTCAACCTCTATATACTCTTGGTGGCAATAGACATTACGAATTAATGTACAGTTTAGGTGTATCCTTATTACACGCTGGTCAGGCTGGAAAAGCCTTTGATTGTTTCACAGAAGCTGCACAAGGATTGCACAATAGCCCAAAGCTTTGGTTGCGCATGGCAGAATGTTGCATTCACTTTCACAAATCCGTAAGTGTACATAAAGATTCCCTTGTTAAATTCTGTATACAATACAATTTTATCTTGCATTTCATTTTACTCACATCATGATATACTTTCTTACTGTATTTCATTTTTTCATAATTTTCAGACTAATGAAATAGATTTTAATATCCCAAAACGTCGCAAGGACCTCGTCCAGAAAGTCCTGGGTACTGGACTGTATAGAAAAATAATATTGGCATCTTCTCTTTCAAAAGATACAAAATATGATACAGAGGGTCTCTCCTATGCCATACCTCAACCAACCCTAGAATTTGGCATGCTGTGTTTAAAGAATGCATTATTCTTACTGCCAGTTAATAACGAATTGAATTTGCCTATGACTCCTGTAGCAGGACCTCAAACTGTCTCCATGTCCTTAACTCCTGGCCATGCATTAGGTATCAAATATGAAGTATTGTTTATGTAAAAGTATCATGAGAAATTATGTTGGTAAATAAACAGTTTATTCTCCAGGAGGACAGCATGCGACTCAAGTATCTCAAGCAACTGCGGTCGAGGCCATAAATTTAAAAGCCAGCGTTCTGGCCGCTAGCGCTTATGTGTCCTTATGTCTTGGAGACTATGTTATAGCTTTGGAGCATGCTAGAGCTTTACTAAATATGAATAAGCTATCTGGAGCATACAGACTATTAGGGAATTTATATGCTGCTGAGAGTTTGATTTTTATGGATAAGATTAACGAGGCTATCGAGTATCTCAAACCAGAAAATATTCAGGATTTGAGTACCTATTTACCCATTTTGGAAACTTTGGACAAGGATAAGGAAAAAACAGAAGAGACTATTGTGACACCAATAGGCTGCAAAGGTATATTCGAATTTTATACTGACAATATTCTACATAACGTGAATTTTTATATTTTAAATTTATAGCTTACTATCCAACTAGCCTTCCCACTGGTAAGGCTGTACTCTGTTACAACCTGGCAGTGGCCTATGCTATTCGTGGTGAGCTGGATAAGTCTGGAGAAACGTTGAAACAAGTATGTATTTGCACATAATTATTGAACAGCATTCTAGAGTACTGTATATTGTCATATATTCTCCACATAAATTTTCATGCAGGTGTGGATGTCGAAAGGGCCTGACTGTGATATTCCTATACAAGTAATAATGCTAGCATTGTATATAGAGCTACAGCTGGGTAAGCATTTCTGGTTATTCTCCTGTTTTAGTCTATCTGTTTTCTTTATATTATAAACAGCAGTGCATTTGTTTAAGGTCATGCCGATGTTTCGAGGTCGATAATAAAGCAACACTGTCCACAATATCGATGAGACCGATTATTCTCAAGAAATCAAGTTCAGCTTAACCATTATTGTATATACCATAATGACAAGCTTAAGGAAGTAATTGTAATTGTACTGATTAAATAAGAAAGCCGCAAGGATTCAATTTTACTAACATGAATTTCCTATTAAAAGCTTAAAGAAGTTTAAGGGAGAGTTATATTGGACTGAATAAATCATTAATCTTAAAAGGATGGAAAAAAGAATAACATTGATATGAAAATTCTAAAATAATAAACAACGAATGGCAAGGTGTCTTAATAATAGCATCCCCTCTCAACCTTCATCATCTCTTCATCATTTCTCTTAGCTCTAACTAGATGAATACCCTAACAGTACAAGTTAGAAGTCGCATTCTAAGCGATTCTGCGCGCTATTCAACGCAGTCCTGCGCTAATCTTTCCCTCTCGTTTCATCGCCATGGGGTGGCCATGAATTTATATTACGTAGTAACCTGCTTGAAGTTGGCCGGCCAACTTTTATTTTTTAAACTTTTTTTTACTCAAATCGTTTGATAGTCGTTGGATAGTGTTTGATAGTCTTGTAAAAACGTTTGATAGTCAATAGTTTTTTCAGAAAATCAAAATCAAAATGTGGTGTGAAGTTGGCCGGCACTTTTTTGTTTCTAACCGGATTTTGTTTTTCCAGGGCTCAATCGATGCAAAATCGTTTGATAGTTGCGAATTTGTTAATAAAAACGTTTGATAGTCCATGGTTTGCAAGAAAAATGAGAAAACCCATATGCGAATCAAGGATCCCAATCCATACTAGTCTTTTCAGAAAATCAAAATCAAAATCTGGTGTGAAGTTGGCCGGCACTTTTTTGTTTCTAACCGGATTTTGTTTTTCCAGGGCTCAATCGATGCAAAATCGTTTGATAGTTGCGAATTTGTTAATAAAAACGTTTGATAGTCCATGGTTTGCAAGAAAAATGAGAAAACCCATATGCGAATCAAGGATCCCAATCCATACGATACAATCGATTCCTCGATCGGTGTGTCCGTTGAATTAGATTATATTGCAAACTTTTTCTACTTCCAATCGTTTGATAGTCGTTCGATAGTATTTGATAGTCTTGTAAAAACGTTTGATAGTCCATGGTTTGCAAGAAAAATGAGAAAACCCATATGCGAATCAAGGATCCCAATCCATACGATACAATCGATTCCTCGATCGGTGTGTCCGTTGAATTAGATTATATTGCAAACTTTTTCTACTTCCAATCGTTTGATAGTCGTTCGATAGTATTTGATAGTCTTGTAAAAACGTTTAGTTGTCAATAGTTTTTTCAGAAGAGTCAAATCGTTGTACGATGTGAAGTTGGCTGTCGTTTCCTTGCTTCTTGTCCATAATCAGCTTTTTCAAGACACGTAATAAGCCAGGTTTTAGGCATTTCTATAATTACATAATAGTCGTAAGTCAGCAATTGTTGTTATAAGTTATTTTTACGAGTAACCAGAACTATACTTTCCGATCATTCTTTAGTAGGTAAACAGGAACAGAGTCATAATACTGTAAGCTTACATCGGAACATAGGCATGGACGCCTATATGACGTCATCTTTCATGGCTTTTCAGAATGGCTCAATAGAAGCTTATAACAATGCATTGTTGTCACCCTATGGCAAATTCGGGCATGCAACATTACTTGTATAGCAGTGCGGTGATTGGTTGAAACGGTATTCAGACACGTTTTAACCAATCAGCGTTTGCTGACAGATGTACATATGTTCATTCATAGAAGCTTTTTCACGTGCGGCAGAGCACTAGGTGTGTTCGAGAATAAGCCGAGAGCGAAAATCGCAACGTTGTTTCTCTGTTCATTGGATACATTTGATCGCGACACTGATATCTGAAAGAAACTATTGACTATCAAACGTTTTTACAAGACTATCAAACACCATCGAACAACTATCAAACGACTATCAAACGATTGGAAGTAGAAAAAGTTTGTTATATTGTCTAAGTCAATAGACACACCGATCGAAGAATCGATTGTATTGTATCGATTGGGATCCTTGATTCGCATATGGTTTTTCTCATTTTTCTTGCAAACGATGGACTATCAAACGTTTTTATTAATTTATTCGCAACTGTCAAACGATTTTGCATCGATTGAGCTCTGGAAAAACAAAATCCGGTTACAAACAAAAAAGTGCCGGCCAACTTCACACCAGATTTTGATTTTGATTTTCTGAAAAGACTATTGACTATCAAACGTTTTTACAAGACTATCAAACGACTATAAAACGATTGGAATAAAAAAAAGTTTAAAAAATAAAAGTTGGCCGGCCAACTTCACGCAGGTTGTATTCGGAGGTAACCCGGCGAGCGCACAGCTGTCTCACTCACATCGTGGATAATGTTGTCCTTTTTGAATTGAACTGCGCATGTGGTGTACAAGCCCTGCAAAAATGTTATTCCGCCGACATATCATTACATTCCGCCGAAAAAGCACTGAAATACAAGTACATATAAATTCTACCTACGCTTCATGATATAAATATAGAGCCTTATAAAATCGCCAAAAAAATATTTAGCAGTCTTCGAAATAAAATATATGTGCCACTATTTCAGGTTATGTTATGTTGGCTTGGTCTTCTCTGTGCGCACTGCTTTATCCCAGCGTAAACTTTTTCAGACTGTACAGTGTGCGATAGAGACAGGCTGCTACACTCACATGTGGCCTTGCTATCTCTTTCTGCGTGGCCCCCACTACTGCCGTTCGGATTCCAGTATGATTAGAATTCAGTGGTCCCAATACTGGTACTGGCCCAGTCCAGGCCCTTCACTTTTGTAACAGACTGTACCTTTTCCATTGTGTCCATCGAGACTCACCAATAGTAAGGCAGATCGCCCCAGCACGCGGGCCTCCTTCTACAATACTGCAGAAGTAGGGATCCGGAATAACGATTAGGTACACTGGTCCTGGATTCTGATTTCGGGAACGGGGTCGTAGGGGGCAGTTACGGTGTACAACGAAAACAGATCACACGCAGACGCGGACCCGCGAGACTTTTCACTGATCGCGTAACGCTCTTCCCCTACTTCCTTGTTCGTTGCTACTCTCAGTCGTGTTTACGCATCTACCCATGATATTTTTGGGACTAGACAAGCATCGTTCATGGTGTATGTAAGTTATTCGTCGTCGTCATCCTCATCATCGTTGTTCTACATTTTATTCCTGTGGCGGTGGTGCTGTGCTTTTCGTGACCTTTGAAAGGAAAATAAAAAGATTTGAAATATTGCAAACGTATCAGGGCGCCTGGCGTCCGTCGTGAAGCTCTGTGCAACTTGATTGTATCTGCAGAGCCGTGCACCGCGTCCCTATAGTTGATGGGACATTGTAATAAATTATGTGTTTACCAAGGGTACGTCGTGTTTAGAGATTGTGAGGATCTTCAAGATCGTGGATCTATTGTGGGACTTTCTCTCTGGAGTACAAAAGAGAAGTAGAAAGATGGACGTGAATATTGAGAGGGAATGCAGCGCCCTGGGCGGCCTCTTTCAGCAAATCGTCAACGATATGAAGGTGAGATATGGGAGTGACAGCCGTACCGGATGCACCTTCTACTGGAGTCGGGTTTTTGCTTTGGCTTTTGCTTTGGCTATTTTATTCTTTCTTCACTGTTTTACGCCTTCTGTTTCTTATATTTTTACTTCTTTAGTCCTTTTCTTTCTTATTCCTTTTCGCTGCTCACTCTGTTATTCTCCGGTAAACGCTCCTTTTTGCTTCCTCATAGAGGAAGCTATGTGACGGTGGAAAATTTGGCTGTCGAGATTTTCATATCACCATGTTCAGAATGTGCCAAAACGTCGAGAAAACACGTTTGGAGAAAATGTCCGGATGTGTGTGTAATGGCCTCCTAAAATTCAAATGTGTGTAACTCGAGAACTGTTTTAGCTACAGCCCCCCAATTTTGCAGGCATATGCAGCTTTATAATCCCTTCATTGACTATAATTTTCGTCATGATTCAAGCTGCGGCTCGGATTTTATGTCGTTTTCAAATTCCCAAAAAAAGGACGTTATCACTCTAGCAATCGCAAATTTTGTGATAATCGTCTAAATAGTTATTGACAAAGAGATTTGTATCCAAGGTTAGTTGGTATTGCATTTGGGCCGAATCCATCGAGAAGTTTTGATTTTATGATATTTTGAATTTTTCGAAAAATCAAATTAATCAATATAACTCCCATCAACTTTGATCGATTGAGCTCCAGCTTTCCAAAAGTATAGAACATCATTCAGCGGTGATCTGTATCAAATTTGGCGGCGATCGGCAAAACGGATCTGATTATACATATATTCAAGTTTTTGAATTTCAGCCGATTCAAAAATATTAGGCCCGAAGATATCATGCAAGAATTTTATCCTTACATGCGTTCTCTACAGTATAAAGCACCCCAAGTTGTGAGAGGCATGGGGACTCACGTTAAACAAGCTGCAAGTTGAAACTTGCAATTTGCTTGCTCCGAATCGTAAGTAGTGTCCGAAGTCCCTACATGAGGAAGCCAAGAATTAAATTTAGCAGTTTGTTTCCTCTGAATCATCGGTAGTAGATGAAGATTCATCGATGAGGAAAGATTAAAAAAAAATGAAAATGCTTCCTCATATACGGACTTCGTACACTACCTACGATTCGAAGGAAGCAAATTGCAAGTTTCAACTTGCAGCTTTTTACTTTCCTAGAAGTATGAAATTGTTTTTGGAGTGATTTTTTTCTAGTAAACATATAAAACTATCTCAGACGAGATTCCAATTAGTAATTATTTTATTATATGTATATGTATTGCTCAATCCAATTTTTATGATCAAGGTAAAATTAATGTTGAGGTGCCTTGAAATACACTTATATCGTTTAGAGATAGAATGTCTATCTTTCTGATGGGGATGCGTAATAGTGTATAATTCATATCGCATATTGGATTTCAAAAAAATATTGTACAGTAGCAGATAAAAATGATTGTGAGAGGCAGATATATCAGTGTAACCAATATTAATGGGTAGGCGTATATTTCTATCTTATCTGTGACAAATGGGCATGTATACTATAATGTAGGGATTAGCCCATCTCTCTAGTTTTCTCAATATTCCCTCCTTTTTATAAATCCCAATAAATTATTTATATAAATGATATATATATATATGTGACAGCATTGGAATTCTAAGCTAAACTAACCTAACGTAATCTAACCTAACTTAACATTATAAACAATTTTATTAACAATAAAAAAAATATAAACAAATTCGGTATGAGAGTCACCTTTATGATCCTCAAAAAAGTCATTACGCCGCAAAAACTTTGAGATCGGACCCCAAAACAGCAATAAGACCTCGAATAAGCGTGTTCGTAAAAGAAATCGACTCCAAAGTATGCGATAGCCAAATTTATATATGTACATATGAAGCTATATATATATATGAAGCTAGCTGATATTTGTAATTTCTCAAACCATTGTTTCCAGAATGGAGCTCCATTATGGGAAGATTTAATCTCCAAGGCAACAAAGTTACACACGTGTCTCAGGTGAGATAAAATAGGATAAGACTGCATGATTATACTTAGGGTGTGTTCAGAAATTTACTGACAGTACTGTAAAAGTAATTACATCTCTCTTAGATGCGTACGGATGAATAAAGATACAGCGTTGGTTACAGTACTGACAGACTGTCAGTACATTTTGAAACACGCCCTTAAGAATATTATAACTGGCAATATTCCGAAACCAGCATTAAAAATTCGGTTATGGAATGCAGTAAATTATTATTAGGTGAAACCAGAGTAAAGGCCATTCTACAATGCAACGAAACACGTAACACGGAAGAAATAACCGATAAGATCTTCAATTGTATATTTACCTAATTCCATTGGATCTTCCAATCAAGAAGGAGAAAATCGTTTTTAAAACCGAGTGTTTACTAAGTGTCTACGATTTTGATCGCTTATTTCTTCCCCGTTACGTATTCCGTTGCATTGTAGAATGGTCTTAATGGCGACCACTGAAATGTCTTATATTTTTTTAAATTATTCTTGATTAGAAATCGGTATAGAATAGAATTAAAATCGAAGTATGTACGATGTTACTGCAATAGTCAATATCATTCTTCCGAAGATACTTTTTTAAAATTATTAACAGCTCTGCATTTGGCGCCATATCCTATGCGTAAATTGTAATATTATGAATATCAGGATAAACAAAGTTTCCCGCGAGGCACGATTACTCGACTCACTGCATCTTATGCATACATACGCCCTTGAAAAAAAATAATTTTGCGGATGTGGTACCTTTAGACGGCAAGTGATTGATATTATTCTCCTCATTTTTTCCTCTAAATTTCAACACAATTGGATAAGTGTTTCTGTCAGAGTTCTCAATTTAAACATACGAGACTAAATTTTCGGATTTTCCGCATGCGCCGTCTTGAAATAAGGAATGCTGGAACAATGTTGCAAATTTTACTATCATCTAAATTTGGAACATAATTTTTTGTGGAAATTTGAGCTGTAGTTCCGAAAACCGCATAGCTCCGAACAGTATGGTTTTTTGTATTCTGACGTATTTTGACGTGCTGATGACGAATATAATAGTGAAAATACTCGCAAAAGTAATTTTAAAAAATGGCAATTTTTCAAGAAAAAAAAACATTTTTGATTTTTTTTTTCAATAAATATTGATTTTAGAGAAAAAAGTTTTGAGTAAAAATTGTAGCCTGTAAAAAAATAACATCTTTTATGTCCTATATATTTTTATTATAAAACTGTTATTTTTCGAGAAAAATGAGATAATGTTCAGAGAAACAAACATTTGTAGAAATAAATTGTAATAAAGAATAATTATGATTGATAGATTTTGTTACTACTATTCCATTAAGGCCATTCTACAATGCAACGGGACACGTACCACGGAACACATAAGCGGCGCGATATTCAATGGTATATTTACCTAATCCCATGGGATCCTCCAATGAAGAAGGAGAAAATCGTTTTTAAAACCGAGCGTTTACTAAGTCTCTACGATTTTGGCTACGTCTCGGACATAGCAACGATACGGAAGCGGTTGCTATGGTCGTTAAGTATTTCACGAAGCCGTAACGTGATGAGTAACATCGAGCATGCCCCATTCCGTAATCTGTAACGGCTTACGTGAAAAAAATAATTGCCCCGCCAACATTTCCATACGTGAAATGTCATTAGCCGTCACCTGTCATTATCTGTCAATATATAAATATTTTAAAAAATATGTATGCGTTTATTCATATAGATAAGTGAATCATTACTTCATTTTTAAAGTCACGATGACTTTTATCGTAGAGAAATTTGATTTCTCTAACGATATTGATAATGATCTCGTCTATAGAGTTGGCAATGACAAGTGAAAGGTAATGACATTTCACGTATGGAAATATTGGCGGGGCAATTGTTTTTTTTACGTAAGCCGTTACAGATTACCGAACGGGGCATGCTCGATGTTACTCAACACGTTACGGCTCCGTGAAATACTTAACGACTCTAGCATCCGCTTCCGTATCGTTGCTATGTCCGAGACGTAGCCAAAATCGTAGAGCCTTAGTAAACGCTCGGTTTTAAAAACGATTTTCTCCTTCTTGATTGGAGGATCCAATGGAATTATGTAAATATACCATTGAATATCGCGCCGCTTATGTGTTCCGTGTTACGTGTCCCGTTGCATTGTAGAATGGCCTTTAGTTTCAGTACATGATTATTTAATCATGCACTTTATCACGGAAAGTTTGAATTTTGGATTTTAAAGTGCATTTTTTTCTTTTTCGTATTTAATTTTGCTTTTTTTATTTTTTATTGTTTTTTGTGTTTTTTATTTTAGGTATTTCTTACATGTATTTTTTAATTAACAAATATGTTTTCTTATCATTCATATATTAATTGTCGTCACTAATGTTTTTCTCTAATTGTTTTTAGTTTAGGGGAAATATTTGTGAGCGAAGCCCCTGTTCATTAGGTCCTTTGGGTTCTTTAGGTTTTTTTCGGTAGGTTAGTTTCTCGCTTATTTTATTTTTTTTAAAAACAATTTTTAGACAGGGTGAATTTTATTCTTAATCACAAAGTGAGCTTGCGAGCGGAGCCCGCATTCATTAGGTTCATTAGGTTCGTTAGGTTTTTTAGATAGGTTAGTTTTTCGCTTTATCTCATTTTTTTCGAAAAATGATAATTTTATAATAAAAATGAATAGGACGTAAACGATGTAATTTTTTACAATCTACAATTTTTACTTAAACATTTTTTCTCTAAATCAATATTTATTGAAAAAATTTCAAAAGATTATTTTTTTTTTGAATAATGACCATTTTTTTAAAATTAATTTTGCAGGTATTTTCACTATTATATTCGTAATTAGTACGTCAGAATACGTCAGAATACAAAAAACCATATTTTTCGGAGGAATGCGGTTTTCGGAACTTTATCCGGAATTTGAATTCTCAACGGCTAAGCGTTTAAATAAAAATGTTGTATAGAGATTTATATAAATTATCAATGTTTCGAATCTTTGTCCATGCATCATTTTGAAACCGGAAGTGCTGGACATGTGCAAATGTTCCTGTACCATTCACATTCGGAATTTAGTTTGTCGTAAATTAAATTATTTCGCGATAACGAATATATCAGATACGACCGCATGGCTCAAGCGGTCGTGCTTTGCAGCAAACCGGTTTACTCCGATATATTTTTTTTCATTCTGTAAAACCCTCTGTTTAAAGGGGGTACAGAACCTTCTTGTAACCATCTATCAACCATCATATCTAACGTTCCTCGTCTCAACGGTTTTGGGTTTCTTGTTAAAAACGTTATAATATTATAGTTATGTACCTGACTTAATCATGAGTATGCAATGAAAAACGGATTGATTTATTTGCAGAGCTGCAATATTGGCGATTTCGGCGTATCTCGAAGCTTTTCAGAAGATTGCCGACGCGGCCACCAATGCTCGAGGTGAGTGAGTTCACCGTATTTTGAAATTTAAGGTAGTCGTCTGAAAATTTTCGAAGTCAAATTAACATCTACATATAACTTATTTTAAATCTAAAAATAAATAAATAAATTTAGTAAATCATATTTTGAAATACTGATTTAATAAATGCACAATAATTATGCTCCTATAAGCAATTAATAACACTTTTGAACTTTTGTTATATGGATGACGTTTGACTAGTATTAATTATTGTAAATAGTGCCATCTGTAAATATATATATATGCACGGTTGCTAGTTGAAATTAACCTTCTAATAGCATATGGTTACTAGCAGTCACTAGCCTCAAGTTTATAATCTTACTAAATAGAAGTTGTTACAAGTGAAACATTGTATAAACTACATACTGATAGACGTTTCGTGAAAAAATCGCGTATAACATAAATACAAAGTAGTGTCAAGATAGTATGGTAGAATTATGCTAGAAAGATGACTCTAAATTTTTAATGCCTAATTAAAAGAGTTTAATCAGCTGTGTCTGCTGGCTAAAAACAAAATTTGTTTACCGACTAATTAAAGAGATATTAATTATTAAAGTTGGGAAAAATTAAGTTGGTGGGGGAGATATGGTTGTATTTAGTCAAATGTCCTTAATTTTCAAAAAAAGTTAGCAAAGCTATGTAATAAAATGTATTTCCAGATAGCTTGATATCTGAGGCATTTACTGTAAAAAAAATGTATACTTATTGAGAAGTTATTGTTAAACGAAATGCATGCAGCACCTGTCTCTCTCTTTTGCGTATTCTTTTCCCCAATTGTAAGCGCTAAGTAAAAAATGACGCTGCATATTTGGGCGTTCAGTAAACAATATGATTTATTTACCAGATTAATTATTGTTTGCTAGTATTAAATTCACATTTTTTATATATTTATATTTTTTAAATGAAATTTAACAAATTATACAGGGTGTTTCCTAAGCCCCGGAGAAGAGACATACCGTTAGATCCGGCGCGAAAAAATAAAAATATTGGCGTTAACAAAAAACAAAAATTTTAATTAGTTTATTAATTATTAAAGATAAAAGTAAGCCAATCATAAACGCGTGAAATTTGGTAACTCCTCCTCAGTCTCCTTCCATTGGGGACAGCCAATCATTCATTTCCCCACAAAAAACATGTTGCATTATTCTTTTGTTTATTTACGTTACTATATTTACGTATCCACCGATCACTGTTTTTGTGGGGAAATAAATGATTCGCTATCCCCAATGGGAGGAGACTGAGGAGGAGTTAACAGTTTTCACGCGCTTATGATTGGCTTACTTTTATCTTTAATAATTAATAAACTAATTAAAATTTTTGATTTTTGTTAACGCCAATATTTTTATTTTTTCACGCCGGATCTAACGGTATGTCTCTTGTCCGGGGCTTAGGAAACACCCTGTATATGGCTATTGATTTGACTTCAGCTAAACTCTACCATAATACCTTAAGGGGACTCCGGGCCTCTCATTATCACACGAGTAAAATGTAAAGGACAATGTTATAACAGATTTTTTGATAGAGATTCTTCCCCAAAATGGAGTTCAGCGCACATTCTTCAAAGGTTACAATCATTTTAACACCAGTTTTGCTATAATTAGCCCAAAACTGAAAGAATAATCTGACCCGCAAATTTCGATGTGAATTTAAAAAATACGACAAATTTCGGATAGGATTACGCTTTCAGTTTTATTCTAATTGTTGCGAAAATTATGTCAAAATTATTATTAACCTTGCAAACTCTACTTTGGGGAAAAATCGATGTCAAAATCCTGTTTTTTTAAAAGATTTTCGTTGGAATTTTACTCGCATGGTAAAAAAAGGTCCGGAATCCCTTTAAAAATGTTTTAATTGTTTCCCGCAATATTGCGCCACAATGTTTCTCCCTATCGACGACGTATAAAGAGAGCATCCGAATGAAGACAGAGACAGATACCGCCAAATAACTACTTTCGATACGTTATTTCTTAATAATTCCACAGTAAATAATGTTTTTATTTTGGTCAGTAGGCGTAATAGATATCAAGCTTTACACTGATAGTCATAGTCAGTCAGTAACTAATGCATAGTCAGTAAATAATGTTTTTATTTTGGTCAGTAGGCGTAATAGATATCAAGCTTTACACTGATAGTCATAGTCAGTCAGTAACTAATGCATAGTCAGTAAATAATGTTTTTATTTTGGTCAGTAGGCGTAATAGATATCAAGCTTTACACTGATAGTCATAGTCAGTCAGTAACTAATGCATAGTCAGTAAATAATGTTTTTATTTTGGTCAGTAGGCGTAATAGATATCAAGCTTTACACTGATAGTCATAGTCAGTCAGTAACTAATGCATAGTCAGTAAATAATGTTTTTATTTTGGTCAGTAGGCGTAATAGATATCAAGCTTTACACTGATAGTCATAGTCAGTCAGTAACTAATGCATAGTCAGTAAATAATGTTTTTATTTTGGTCAGTAGGCGTAATAGATATCAAGCTTTACACTGATAGTCTTTTAATACGTAGGCCAAGCTTATAACTTTTACATAACTAAAGATTTCCAGCCCCATTCAGTCACTTTTCTCCCGCTACCTCAATTTTGCTACTTGTAGAACACATTCTCATTTGATGTAGTGGTGCAAGAGCCTGAACTTTTTCGATTAAAATTAAAAAAAATGAAGGATCAAGCTCGCGAGAATTTTCTAACGATTTACCTTAACATTTAAAATCTTTACATGGTCCGTGATTATTTTTTGGAGTGTCCAGCTATGATAGCCGCTGATGTACATAAATGGGAACATCGGCCCTATCCAGCGTTGCACTATATTTCTTGCACTCTCCAGCTGAGCCAGTATTGATCTTAAAGTTCCACTCCCTCCTACGGCTAGAACACTTGCCATCCCCCTCCCTTCCATCCTATCAACCGAAGCACTCTCCCAAAAGTATCCTCACTGGGTCAGATATAAGGTATTTTTACATAGAAAGCATGAAATCGAGTTTCGAATAGATGAATAATGAAAATAAATGACAATAATAAACATGCTCTGTATTCATTATTTTTATACATGCAAAAGGCATTGCTTATTGTTCATAGATCTGCTTAATCTTTGATTGATACTAACATTTTTTGTACTTTCGTGCGACATTCTGGGATACAAAGGTACCCCCAACGTTTCGAAGGGGGGGGGGGGAGGGGCAATTTTCTGTAGAGATAATAAAAAGACTTTAGTTCGCTCGACGATGATAATCGTAATAGTAACAGGAAATTACGGGTTAATAACCCAGTAACAAAAAAAATTGTGAAAATTGCACCGGAATCTAAAAGAAATGTTGATAATCGGGCAAAAACTTTCTTTACATAAGAATGTTCATTTTTCTTCTCATTGACTGATCTTGAATTTTCCAATGGAGTTTTAAAGAGGACACATAGGATCATTCAAATATAATAGTCGTTTTTTGAATCTGTAAAAAAAGTATAATCATATTTGATAGATATTGAAAAGTGTCTACAAAAAATATTTTTACACCTCTGTAAGTATATGTTTTGTCGAAACGTATGAAAATAGATGCAAATTTGAAATTAAATAAAAAATCGATGATTTAATCATGAGCGTAGCAGTTGATGGACTATACACTGTCCTGTGGTTTTGCTCCGATTCCGAATTCGTTAATTTTTCCAAGCTATCTTCTTCTTCGTCAGAAGCCTTGTTATTTATTTTTTTTTATCTCGATTGAAACAGTGCGCTCACTGTTGCGATACTTCAGAAATTATATTGCGTCACCATTTTTGACAGTTATTTTCTTCAAAATGGTCTAAGTTTATACACATTTTTCTTTCACAAAGCATACCTAATTCAATATAATTGCATTAAACAAACATATTACATAAAAGCAAAATAACTATTCGATTTATTTTATCCACTAAGATGTTTATTTCACTGTGGGTCGTAAAATATGAAAGTCATACCATAAATTAATTTACAAGATACAGAGCCTTTGAATGACGTAATTACACGTAAAATATACTATTTATTAAAAAAAATGAAATTGACTTACCTACATGAAACACTTACACTGACAATACTCTGGAATACAAATGTACGCCAATCGGAATTAAAGTAAGTACTGCTCGGCAGGCGTTTACTTACAGACTCTCCTTTCCACCTGACCCCAAGCCTAAAAATTGAAATTGAATTATGATTAAGGTCTCAAGTCCAAAATATCGTCTGCTACCTCAGAGTCGTAGTTTGAAATTCCGTTGGGGTACATTTGTAGTCTAGATTACCGGTTTAGGGTTAAGAATCACGCGTTATCTGTAAAATAATTTTTGCAAAGTTACTTAAGTACCAAGGATAATCAGAGTTTTATTATAACTAAGGAGCAACAAAGGAAATTGGAACGGCACTAACAAGGATATGTCTTCGTCATAAGGCAGTGGAAACTCGTATGAAATCTTTTACCAGGTAAGCTTTTAATTATTAATATGCATACTTTTGTGCAAAGATGTTTTTAAACGTATTTTTCATTGATATACTCTTTCTCGCTTTTTGTCTTGTTACTAAAAAATGAAATGGCACTTGAAACTGTAACCAGCGCAATTATGGATTGCTTGGTAATGCCACTTCAAGAGAAACTGGAGGATTGGAAGAAATCGCTTATCAATTTGGACAAAGAGCACGCTAAGGGTTAGTGGCTAAGTTACACTGGCGCCGTTACTATAATTTCCATTCGATCGAGACAAATTTGTATCTCTATTTACGTACAATTTTTCGATAATGTCATAGAGTACAAAAAGGCAAGGGCGGAGCTAAAGAAACGTTCTACGGACACTCTACGACTGCAGAAGAAGAAAGCTCGCAAGGGTCAGGCACAGATTTACGGGCAGATTCAGGGTCAAGGTCATATAACGTGTACGAGCGATGCCGAGCTCACCAGGCTTTTGGAGTCTTCGGCAGCAGTTGTCCAGGAGAAACGTCTTAGCCTGGAGGAGACCGAAAGAAAAGCAGTACGCGCTGCGCTTCTTGAGGAACGTGGAAGATTTTGCCTACTTGCACGATTTCTGAAACCAGTACTTGTTAGTAGAAACAAAGTTCTTGAAATCACTAGTATCATTAAACTGAGTCAAGTAGGATGGAGATGATTTAATGCTCAATGTAATCAACGCCATTTTAATTTAAACGACATGACGGAATCTGATGCATTGCAATATTATACGCTCGACTTAAAAAACAAACACAGTTTTCATACCGAAATTATATTTAGGATGAAGAGATTGCGATGCTTATGGAATTGACGCATCTCCAGGAAGTTTCTGATCAATTACAAAGACACGCTGCATCACCGAATCATCTGCCACCTGCTTCGGAGCAAGTAATTACTGACATCAAAGGATGCGACGCGGCCCAATGGTCCTTGGCTACACCACCCTCTAGCCCTTCTTTGTCCCTGGGATCACGAAAAAGCTCCATGTGTTCTATTAGCTCTCTTACAAGTAGCAGCAGTGGATCTTGCAAGAGTCATCCAAGTCCATCTGGTCATCCATGGCACAGATCTCTGTCCCAGGTAAAGAAATAGTTATTTTCATCCCTTTAGGAGCAGAATATTTAACAAGGCAGGGTATTTTATTTACATTTTTCTTTTTAAATCTCTGCATGCATCGTCATTTATCGCTATGCAATTGATACGCATTGAGCTCTGCACCGTCATTGTAGTCGTTGTACGTTAGTTTCTAGTCCTTGGCAAGGATGCTGGACGAATCTTAGCTTAGAGAACGTATGCAGTAGTCGATGTTGTACTCGTTGTAGCCGGTTGGTGTCAGGCCCTCCACCGTCAGCAGCATGATGACTCTTCGTCATTTAACTGGCAGCAGCTCCCGTGACTCTGGGTTTACTTCTCAGGATACTCTGTACACTCAACCAATTTCTGAGCACCAGGTAAGGTAGTGGCTCTGGTGTTATGATATATTTCTGTTATATGTACAGTAATACCTCTCATAAACATAACGAAATCTTCAACTGCGTAAAATTCACAATAACGTAATGATCCATTGCCAGTTTCTCTATATTTTGCCTCGTTTTATGCGTAATCACGCTTACTTACTCACGGAGGAGGTCTTGGCACAAACGCAACTTGAAAAAGTATGGAGTTTCGATATTGCCTGATGGCTGGTTTTAAGTATTACATTATTGAGAGGTTTTATTGTATATTCTATTATCTCTTTGACGTTTTTAGCACTGGCTTCTACTGCACGATTTCATAATGTTGTAGGATTATTGCCTCTTTCTAAGTGGGATTTATTTTTCTCCCAGGTATCAAATGCCTCTTCGCACAGCAATCAGAGTACGGGATGCACCATTACTAGACCCATTACTACTTCCACATGGCCTGATCTTCAGGAAACATCGGTTCAGTTTGATAGGAAGAGTCAGAGTACTGTCAATGAACGACCTCACACAATTTCTTCTGGTAAGTGAAAATTAATCTGTTCTACAATAGTATAGTGTGGGCTGTGCTACTTTAGATCGTCATGGAAAATTATCATGTGAGATAATCAGTTTAAAACAGCTGTGACAATGTGCTTCTATTTTAAAGCTGATTTTAAATAAAGTAGCGATTTTTGGAAGTTGATTAATAGTTTAATTGGTGTTTTATTCAGATTCTTTTGATTTTAGCATACGAGAAAGGGCATCATAGACCAGCACTCAGCGTATATACATTTCAAGCACCTGATAGAGATGTTAGTGGCTGTTGTCATAGTCAACCAGCGTCGCCCGTATCATCATCCTCATCATGTTCCTCGTCAAATCAACAATTGACTCGAATACAGTTACGTAGGAATAACGGCGGCAACAAACCACCTATTCCTAGTCGTTGTTCCAGCTTGGAACGGCCAAACGTTCCAGCAAAGACTGAGATACCTGGAAGTCTTAGGGGGAAACCGAAGCTTCCTTTGCGTGCACATTTAGCAAAAGGTACCAGTTACACTAAAGATAGCACCTTCAATTTATATTTTTATATTATCATTTTTATATCTTTTAGAGTTAGCATCACATCAACATCAGCAACCAATGTACGTGAACATGCACGAATTGGCAAGTTTGGCAGCTAGTCGAGCTCAAGAAATGCAGCTACCACTACCCCCTCCACCGAGTAACGCACCAGGGCCAACAGCCGACAAGGTAGACAGTTTTAAAATTGTTTTAGAGAATTTTTGTTTTATCTTTTTTTTTATTAAGTATATGTTTTTCTTATTTAAGACTGACAGTACTGAAAAGGATGGCGGAAGCTTAACATCCGAATCAAGCTTAGAGTCTAGCAGTGGTTATGGAAGTCAGACGACACTTCCACATTCTCATTCTGTACATAATCAAAGTGATGCCAGCTGGAACGCAGCTCCGTCTTCCCTTTTATCGCGTAGAGGATCGATGCAACAGGCAACAAGACCTGCGCCTCCAGTAAGGCGTACTTCAACTATAATCGGGGGCACCTACAATAATGCTCTTCCAAATCCCAATGAGGAACATAGTAGTGAAACTGCTTGTAACGAGGTTGAAAATCTTCCACCACCTCCTGCATTTTTATTGGAAGGATCTTCCCCCACAGCCAGTCCGACGCAGCAAAGGTAAATTCATTCTAATACTAAGTTCGAAGGTGATTGGATAATCAGACATTTAATAGAATGAAAGTTAAGTATTAATTAAGAGAACGGTTTTAGCTGCAGCCTCCCAATTGTGCAGGCATATGCAGCTCTATAATCCCTTCATTGACTATAATTTTCGTCATGATTCAAGCTGTGGCTCAAAATTGATGTCATTTTCAAATTTCCAAAAAAAGGACGTTCCCGCTCTAGCGATCGCAAATTTTGTGATAATCGTCTAAATAGTTCTTGACAAAGAGATATGTATCCAAGGTTGATTGGTATTGCATTTGGACCGAATCGATCGAGAAGTTTTGATTTTATGATATTTTGAATTTTTCGAAAAATTAAATTTATCAATATAGCTCTCGTCAACTTTGACCGATTGAGCTCCAATTTTCGAAAAGTATAGAGTATCATTTAGCCGTGATATGTCCCAAATTTGGCGGAGATTGGTAAAATAGATCTGATTATACATATCTTCAAGTTTTCGAATTTCAGCCAATTCAAAAATATTAGACCCGAAGAGATCACCCAAGAGATTTATCCTTACATGCGTTCTCTACAGTATGAAGCACCCCAAGTTGTGAGAGGCATAGTGACTCACGTTAAACAAGCTGCAAGTTGAAACTTGCAATTTGCTTCCTCCGAATCGTAAGTAGTGTACGAAGTCCTTATATAAGGAAGCATTTTCATTTTTTTTAATCTTTGGCTTCCTCATAGATGAATTTTCATCTACTACCCACGATTCAGAGGAAGCAAATTGCAAAATTAAAATTCTTGGCATCCTCATATAGGGACTTGGTACACTACTTACGATTCGGAGGAAGCAAATTGCAAGTTTCAACTTGCAGCTTTTTCAATTGCAATCACAGTATGTTACACATTACAACGACTAAAGTTGCAGGATACGTATTCAAGAAAGAGATAACTGCGCACGCGTAGTGCTAGCACGTTTTTGGCTTTTTCAACAGTAACGCCTCTTGCGGCAGTGGCCACCTTATCGACACATAAGGACTTCGTACACTACTTACGATTCGGAGGAAGCAAATTGCAAGTATCAACTTGCAGCTTGTTTTGCATAGGTGACAGTATGATTGTTCTGAGAGTCACTCTTACTCATTGTATTATTTGAGAGTAGAGAGTGTTTGAAATTGATCTAGGATGAAGAGACAGACAGAAAATGAAGGATGATTTTGAATGTGTGAACAAAAATCGAGGGTCACGCATTTGAGAATAATGTCTCAGTCATTTCCTGTCTCCACTATGTGTTTTGATATCCTGTTGATGTATCTAATTTATTGGAATTTTATAATTACACGATCGCTGTATATTAATAAGCTGCCACAGGGAACTGAAATGAGAAATATTGAATTTTTTTTCAGGTCAATATCCGTATCGGAAACCGTGCGAACCTTAACGGAATTACGTCACACTCCGGCGAGTCCGTCTCTTCTACGTAAATGTACAAGTTCCCAGCAATATGGAAATCAAACTAGTACTACCACCCAACACAATACAGTTCTGCAGATAACCCGTTGCACCGTTGAACGCTCTAGTTCGTCATCAACACGATCGAATTCTCAGGATCGCATATCTTCTGGTGGTTCTGCCGGGTGTGGTATAAATCAAGGACAAGGTCCGGGTGGTGTTGGCCAAAGTTTCATGGCTGTTCTGAGTGCCAAATTAATAAGCAGCTCGTCGACCTCTAGCACTGCCAATAATCCTGTTGGAAATAGCCCGAAGTGCTCTAGGAAATATTCTGCTGAACAACAACAGCAACAACAACAATCCAACAGGAACTCAAAAACGTCCACTGGATTTTTAGAAACATTGAATGCTAAACTTGCTCATCAACAGCAAAGTAGCAACAATGCAAGTAGATCTGCCAGTGTAAGACGTATCATGGGGAACAGAGTTCCTATAGTAGATCCACTTCAAGTCAGAGATTCTTTAATGGACCAGATACGTCGTGGAACATCTCTTCGTAAAACAACTGGACCCATCAACGATCGTTCCGCGCCTAAGATTTACTGAGCTTCGACGACAAGAGCTACCATATTGAGAGCTTGCAAGTTCTTGGATTATTTACAATGCCTCGTGTCAGATTTAAAAAATCCTCATAGAATATGGATAATTATCCTCTGCCCAGATATGTTGATAAATGTGAATTAACAGCATCAACTGAATAAAAACACGTCTCACAATTGGCTTTGAAGAGCGGGACGTTAAAAATGAATCATAAAAACGACAACGCATATATTTCCAGTGATTTTTTATAGTCTCCCGAAAGTATTAGGGGTGTCGCGACAAAGTAAAAATTTCGAAATTATAGGAAGTTATTGTCCCGCGTAATACTGGCGTTTTGCCATTCGCATTCGTTTGTAAAGCGCACAAGACGGATTATGGATCTTTTTTCTGGCGTATTCATCCACCTCTTTACGCACTATCTACACGCAGATGATCTAATGAGTCTAAAAATGGACGATAACATTTTTCGTATGATAACAGAGATAAAGTGTTTAGCGTTAACTTTTTTTAAATCGTTGGTAAGAGTATTATAGAGCGTCGCGCGTGTACGAAGTTTTTCTTCTTTATTTTCTTTGTGTTTCTAAGATAAATAGTAAAAATGTAATGGCGTAACGTTGGTCACATTAAGATTGTGGGAGCTATGCTTTTTGCCGTTCAGAGGTATATCAATTTTAAATATTGACTTTTTCTTTTCTATTTTATTAATATTTTACGGATTTTTTCCTCCCACTCTTGGGATAATATTGAATAAAAAAATGATGAACCACAGAACGCTTATGCGCCAATAATATCAATTCTGCTATTTTCTCTGGAAATAGAAGTCATTGAGATTCTTGTCTTGTACCCGATTATTTCCATAACGATATAATTCTATAATAATTTTTGATAACTCTCGGTCTTGAAATTCTTAAGTATTTATTTGTCTCAAGATAAAACATATTACAGCCGGGACATATGCACACGGCGAATAAAATGTAATAACGAGGAATAATGCCGCTTTTCACCTTGCGTACCTACGTTCCTTTCGTTCACGGGTGTCCAGGAGCCATAGTTAAAATCTTGCAAAGTATATTGGTGTATAGCCTATACAGCAAGTAATGTCATAATATTTTTTATTTAATATATACTAGCAATTTAATAATATTGAGTGAGGCGAGAGATAGACATGCTCGAACTTTGCGAGAATGATTCCAGATAATAACGATCCACGTGTCTATCGTTGCTGTCGTTAATTTCAGGACAGAAAACTAAATATACAGCAGAAACGTATACACAATTGTAATTTATAACAGATAAAACTGAATCTCAACAATCGATAGACATTCGATCAAATATTACAATAGCTACTGGTAATAACCCTAATACCACTGTAATAAAACAATATTTAATGTAGTTACCGTCTGAAGATGATTGTTAATTTGTCATAATTATTGCAGTAGCAGTGGAAAAATTTGAAGATAATAAATAACGATACGATATATTAATTCTATTTATCAAAAACATCCAAGTATTTTTTTTCATAAATTAATGGGAGTTTAATAAATACCTAAAGTGTGTGTACTATGAAAAACTCCATATTTTTTTTTTTTATTTACAACCCATATGTGATTCGTACAAAAAAAATATAATCAATAGAAATCTTTAGCACGGTGAGAATATTATAATATTTGTCATGAAGGGGATTGATGCCTTTTCATGATTATATAATTATTAAAAAGAACGAACGCTATCATCATTTTGCATATTGAACGGTCAAAATAAAAATATTGATAAGGTTTTGACATAAATGCATGTCATAAACTCGAGCAACGGTGGCTGATTATGAAAATAGATATATGAAATATTCACTTGTCTCTTTCTTTAACAAAATATGTTACTAATTTTTTGACCTCCGTTTGGCCGTTGCAAAATGGTTTTGCCGTTAGAGTTCAGTATTCCCTCATGTACTTCTTTCTTAGCTACGCTGCTGTCATTTTTAATTCTCGAGTATCCGTCTGTCTAAAGGCAGACACAGAAGTAGAGTTATTAGAAGGATGTCTACAAGTTAAACGAGTCGCCATTATTTCTGGAGGTGGGCCTTGTGTATTCGGTAATGCATAAATTGATATTAATTTATCAATTCTTTGTTCAGCATGATTTCTGAGAGTTGCTAGATTGCCATTTTCGAAGCTTATCAAAAGACCAAAGCTACCAGCTGAAAATTATCATAAATTATAGTTAAAAATAATTCAAGCGTTTTACTTAACTAATATTAATGCGTACTCACGCTTATCTAATGGCGGACAGGAGCAATCTGGATCCACGTTTAACTCTATGGTAGAACGTAAACGTTTTGGATGAACAGGTGCCATTAAATCTAATAATAGCCGAGCTTTACGCCATCTTCTTATGGCCACTTTCACGATACTCTTTGCGTTGCAGTATACATTTTGAATATCTGCTGGTAACGTGTCAGCACATATTGGACAGGAAGGTTTGCCTTCTGGAACGGCTGAATATTTTTAGAGAAATATTTTTCTGTGATGAAACACTTTTCTCAAAAAGATTTAAAAAACTAGGTTAATTATTAAAAAAATACATACGTGTTGTATATAGATTCCTATCAAATATAAAGTGCTCTGGTTCTACTATCATACCTTCCTCGGAGTTTTCAAATTTCTAATTATAAAGATTACATGTATACATAAGAATTTGCCACCCTTCTTAAAAATGATTAAATATTACCTTTGGACTTGGTGAATAATCTATAATTTTTTTGGAATTTTCTAAGGGTAATAATATTTCTTCATTTATTAAAACTTCTGACTTGCTATTTTGCTCTTTAATAAAATCATCTGAAGGTTTTACGAATACCCCTGAGGGTCCTTCTATTCCTTCGGGCATTTCTAGATCGTGATCCACTTCAACAAAAAGTGGGTTCAGTCTAATATTTGTCTCGTTTGGTACTTCACCACTTCCAGATTCGTGTAATACTAGAAGTAATATGGTATATTGTATTAATGGTATTCATAAAATAATTGTTTGAGAACTTACTTTCAGGTGCTTCAGTCTTAATAGAATTTCTATTGGTATGACGAGATATTTCGCCGTTTTCTAAACCATCAGGATGAATAAAACTATTCGAACTCTTTATAAAAGGCACATTCATCATTTTCGGTTCCAGTCCACTTGATAAAACATCCTCTACAATATCCAGAACCTTGTCATCTGGTTCAACAGATTGATTTGTAGGTATAACTATTATTTCAGGTTTGTTTGTACTTGATATGCCAAGTTTGTGCTTTGAATTTGCACTATCTTTTCCGACATTTTTTATTAATCTTTCTGTTGTTTTTGAATCTTCTGACGCAAATATATTGGCCTCCAGATTAGAGTGATTAAATTTTGGTTCCACAGGCATGGGGTTTGGTATTGGCTGTATATCATCTTCACCGGCGCTACTGCAGGCTTGAGAAAAACTGTAACTCTAAAATAAAATAGCAATTATTGAAATTATCTAAATAAAATAATTTTGCTTCGTATTTTGTTATATATATTTTGTGTGTGTGTGTGCGTATTTATATCTTACGGTTGTCACGAAGAGTTCTAGTTGATAGTAATCGTAGAGTTTAACGTTCGCCGGTTCTGGACGGTCGACGATATTTTCTCGACTGACAATAAATGAAATGCAGGTTCTCTGACCCATTAATTTATCAAAATAGATACTAATGACATCGCGCTCTTCCTCGAATCGTTTCACCTCTATTAGAAAAAAAAGATATATTACAAAATAATAAAATTTAATTTAAACCTACTTACGGGTTGATGGTTCTTCAATGAGAGAGAGAAGACTGGTACGATCTGGTACGTAACCACTAATCATACCAATTTCAAGTAGAGCCATGTTACTCTCTTCATCTGCCATTTTATATCTGGCACATGCAGTTATTCTCTGCATGGAGCATTCATCCACAGATGCTATAGATTCAGCAGATACTGATAAATCAAACGCATCAGATCCTGTTGCATGTGGAATGTTGTACTTCAGATTACTCTATAAAGAGAAGATAATACAAATTAAATTATGGAAATTATCCCTTATATCTCATTAATTATATTAATACCTGTACTAAGACACATCCTTCGCCCTCAGCAAATACTTCCACCACTGTTGGCAAGACTGGCAAGAATATTTGTCTGCGGACAAGACGATCTGCATTTTGCATTCTGAATACATGATCTACTTCATTTCCAGTAACCAGAACAGAGAGATCAGTCGATTTAGTGGACATAGCAATAGCGTATTTGGTAAGAGCTTCTAATCCCAATACAGTATCCTGGGTCGACGTAAAACCACCCTCTGCATTTCTTTGTTTAGATATCCAGCGTACGGCTTTCAAAGCTTCTATCATATTTTCATTACCACCGATTTTTACAAGAGACAAAATAGCATATGCTGTCATTTCAATGCTCAAACCTGTTGATGGTTTTTCTTTATTTTCCCACCAGAGTAAATCCTAATCCAATGGAAATGTATAAAAATAAAAATCATTCAGAAATCTATAGAAATAAATGATTCTGTCTCCTTACTTGCTGACGCGTTGCTCGAGCCATTAGTGATTGCAATGATGCTTGTGCTCTGGGATCTTCCAAAAGCGTGAGAGCATATGTTGACAATGTGGCTGTATAAAGATCGTCATTGTTATGAGCAATTCCTTTTTCTAGACAGTTTAGAGCATTGTTGATAAGCAGTGAGGACAATGGAACTCCAGATTCAAGTAACGAGATTAAAATATAAGCAGTTAAAGATGATGAGCTATCTTTAAGACCACCCTAAAAAATAGGTTGATAAATGATTTAATTAGAACTCACGATAAAGGTGTATTTATATGTACCTTCATACTCTTATGGAACACTCTGCCGATTACAGGGAAACATCCATTTTCAAGTTGACGCCTAACAATCCACTTTACAGATAGCTTTAAATCTCGTTCATCTATATGAATAAATGATTGGGCTTGTGCGAATGATTTTACTACGAATGCTGTCAGCCATATTGATCCACCACTTTCTGTATTAGCAGCTCCAAAGGCAGAGTAAGAACCATCCGGATGTCTATAGTTTAATTCCCGTTGATATCCTATCGTATATAAGAAAAAATATGTATATTGTATTTCTTAATTTTATTTTGATCTAGACGAATGTACCTTTTTCCATGTTTTTAATGGCCTTAGCTCGCAATATAGGATTTTGCATCTGTGTAGCCTCTAGATATCTTATAACATGAATATTAGGTACAAAAAGTATCATATTCTGTTCACCGCAACCCATAGGGAGTCGCACCAAATTCTCCAAATTTTCAAACGCCGGCCCTAAGATGTCTCCTATCAAAGACACATATGCTCTAGCGCTATCAGGAACAAGTTCACTAGGTAATTCTAAATTCCAGGCAATCGTTGAATCATCACTAAAATCCTTAGGGCATACAAATGCTGATTTTGTTACTTGTACAACAAAACCTTCTGGTTGTACCATGATAGGCTTGATGATTGTATCTCTACAATTTTCAAGTATTATTTATAAGTATTAATAATAAAATTCACAAAACATACGTATTTCCAATCATTAATAATAGTATCAATTACTTAGTATGAATCAAGATCTCAGGACCACAAGGTTTTGCATAGTCTGGATCAATAGCAGCTGACACTGTTATATTTATTTCACCTAAGAGTCGTGGTTTTAGCATATATTCATGGACTATACTGGCCCTGGGCTCAACGCAGTATGATGCTGTAGGAGATGAAATGTACAAATCCAGTCCTTCAGCATTTCCAAACTTAATCTTCACCTATTAAAATCCAATGATACTTTTTTCTTTTTTCAAGAATCTATAACAATTCAGTATTTTGTAATGATGTATACGCACTTACAGGTAAACTATGCTGCATGTAATTGAAGAGAGAGACTTTCAAACGTAATATTTCGCCCCTCTTTACACTGTATGGTAAACTATAGTCCAGGAAGAATGATTGAAAGGCTGTGATTGTTGCAGGTGGGGCGATACCAAGTCCATGCTTAGGACTTATGCATACAGTATGTCCTATCCAATCCGTAATAGTATGTGGCAACGTACGTTCTATTGTTACTTTGCCTTCCTTTCTATGTAGACAGATATGAGATCATTATTAGGGTCGCTTAAATAAACTTCAAGATTAGTTTTCTATATTAGATTTATAATAATATGTATATCATTATTACCCTGTAGGTATTAATTCCCATAACCATGTTTCTGGGAAGTATGATCTTAATGTGGTTGCCTGATCAGGTTGCTGGTCAACATAAGCCATTCCTGTATTGCTCATAGTTTGATCTTGAAAGTTTAACAATGGAAAAGCTAGTGGTTTAATCATCATCTTATCTAAAATTGTAAATTTGATAAGACTTGATAGAAAAGATTGTTTTATAAATTGTTTTTAATATTTTACGCTGTCTAGGTACCTTGTAAAGTAGAACTGCGATGCATCTTTATAACGTGTTGGCTGAATAATCTTCTGAAGTATGATAGTTCCGGACAAGGTCGCGTTTCAAGGGTCAGATCGGTCATTACAATTACGCCAAAATCCTATAAACAATGAATTGATTTATTATAAACTTAACTTAATTGCCAATCTACTTGATCATTCGTACATACGTTAAAGGCTTGCATAGCATCCACATAATTTATTTGTCCAAGTATATTTAGTGCGTGTCTTTTTTTTCGCAGATCCCATTCTGGAGGTTCTTCCACTGCTGGTCTTGGTAAATGATCAATTTCTTCAGCACTTGTTTCAGGTTCAATAGGTCCTGTATAATTAAAATGATAATTTTATTGAGGTCGAGCTACTGATTAGACTGTTGATATCGAGTATCAATACAATACAAATGGTACCTTCGCAATGTGCCCAGGAACGTAATGCAGGGACATTGTTAACATCAAATTTCTTGAGTTTATTAAATGTTTGATCAGTGTTGATTAAATTTGAAGCATGACCAGCCAAGAAGCGAGTGGATTTATCTACAGCAGAAATTCCACAAAGCGACCAGGGTGCTGCTTCTATATGAAATTGTGTGGATGCTCCTGGATTTTGTACGTCATCATGCCAGGCAGTCTTGACTTTATTTTCAAAACAATTTCCTACTTCAATTGTATAAGTTGTAGCGACGGTTTCTCCATCAGGGCGTACATAATACAGAAGTAATTCAGAAATTGGCGCCATACTCGGTGTCACTTTAACGCTCAATGGAAATCTATAATAAAATTGTACAGAAACAACACGTAATTATATTTTGGAAGAAAAACAAATTTTTAATTTAAATATAGTAAGTAATTGTCAACTCTAATTTTACCTGTGCACGATATAACTCTGATCTGTTTTATTGGCTGATGATTCAACTGCCCCCAATAAGTTATGAAATTCTGAATAATTCAAAGCAGAATTTTTGTGTGGTTTGTGTTTGACATGACCAAAGATCAGTAAATCTCCTTTGGAATTGATCGAATAATGAAAAGGAATTGATATGTTTGCATCGTGATTTGATGGAATTGTATACATGACGTTAAAAGAATATTTTTCTCCACAAATTATTGGCTGAGATCCTCGTGCCACTGCGAGATAACTGTCCGATGGTGAGTACCAAGGTGTCACTTCAATATATGCTGATGGTTGATCCATAAAGACCTTATAAAAATTCATGAAATATTATTCTGTTTGCATTAACCTTTAAAGGGTAGGGAGATATTTTTCAAAATGTCGCAATTTTAGCTTTAGTTAAATGTTTCTAATCTCAATACGTACTTTGTCTGAAAATAGAACACTATTTTCGAGATGTTATAACGTCTTCCCGCCTTCGGGAGGCAAACATTTTTCTTAAGTTAATAGATTTTTACGAAATTTAGTAATTATATGTTGTTGATGTTGCTGAATTTAAATATGATTTCAGATTCTCGAAATATGAAATAGCCGTCCAAAGTTTGAAAAAATGCATATATTTAAAAAATTTTGATTTTAAGATGTGCGTTTAGGTCATTGAATTCATATTATATAGTGAAAATTTTAAGATTCAAAATAGAGGATCCAACATAGCGGCCAAAATTTGAAAACTTTGAATTTGAAAAAGTACAAGTCTCAGCAACTTCATGAATATATAACAAAGTTTTATGAAAATTTATAATTTTTTAGTCTGGTCTGTCATATTGAATATTTTAAATCTGAACTGATATTTAAATTCAGCCACCTTAAACATCTATAACTCTAAAAATGGGAAAGGTATAAAGTGGATCATATGGTTAGAGATGTTATAAAGTCTTTCGGCTTTCTATAGGTTAATAGATAGAGTAATATACCTACTCTCCATCTTTTATCAGGCGAGTAATATTTAGTAGCATAATTAACAGCAGTAGCAGCAAAATGGAGCAGTACAATATTTTTATGTTGTGGCGGTACAATAAAGTCTAGGAAACCATCAATGGAGGTGGTGAAATTTCGACATTCAACAACAACACTTATCCAATCCTCTTTGCCTCTCACTCTAAGACATAGTTGAATTTTTTCATTTGGAGTTGGAGTATCGTCTTGGAAGAGGACTCTTAGCTTTAAAGGGGTAAATATTTATTATTATTATTCATTCACTTTATTGGGCTACGCCACTTTCAAGGATTAGAAAATAGTTCAAAATCCGACCATTTTTTGTGATTTATCTTTTTTTTGTGTAAAAAGTTTATTTTTTAGATATATTAAATACATCGTATGATAAAGTTTTCGCTGAAATATTACTGACAAATTTCTATAAATTTCCGAGTTATATGAACTCCTGGGAAATAATCGGCCGTATTCTGTATTAGAGGTGTGCACGAGTTTGAGATTACGGTTCATCTGAAATCAAAAATTCAGAAATTATTTTGTAGATGAGTAGTATAGCCAGAGATCTACGTACGATTTTTCCACTAAATTGGCCATTTTTTATTATAAATTTTTTAATTTCGACAGTTATGTGAAAAATAATTTTTATATTTAAATGGCTGCTATTTGCACAATTTTTTGATAAAAAAATCGTACGTAGATTTCTAATAATACTATTTATCTGCAAAACAATTTTGGAATTTTTAACATTAGATGATGCGTATTCTCAAACTCGTATACACCACCAATACGGAATATGACCGACGTATTTTCCGTGAATATGTATAATGCGGATGTTTATATAGATTTTTCAGTAACATTTCCGTGAAAGTTTTTTCAAACCATGTTTTGTTATTCCATATATAAAAAAAAATGTTATAAAAAATATTTAGTAAAAAAATGATTGAATGTTGACCTATCGCTTGGCCTCAATGGTGGCTTGCGTAACCCCTCAAAGTTTATTTGTTTTTGTATTACCTTTCCATGATATGGTAAACCAAGTTTGAAGTATTTTGATGTATATGGTATGAATTCAAGTTTCAATGCCTGATGTACCACAACAGTTTTACTACTAGCTGTTTCAGTTAGACCTGTACCAGTTTCTGTAAAGTTTGCAGTGAGTATAATATTGTTGGGCGCAACTGTCCAATCTGCATGACCAAGTTCTTCACCAGAGGCACGAAACTCTGTACATCCATCCGGTGAATCGATCTGTATATACATATATATATATAAATAATAAAACAAAATAAAATGAATATAATTTCTATAAAAAATCTAAAATACTGTAAATCACGATAAATACTGCGGTTCCATATTTTATTTCCGGATGATTATGCTTGCGTCTCCAACTTGCAGTCTGTGGTGTCAATTTTAGTATCAACGTACCCTTCACGGGTTTTCCATAGCTGTATCTGTGTAAAAGCATAAATTATGGACTGAAAAATCAATTCTTTTGTAATTATGTTACGTATAATAACATGTGATATTTTTCATTACTTTGCGCATATATTCCAAGTTACAATTTCAGTATCTGCAAGAATATATCCTGGGGACTTTATCGTCACCTGAAATCTTGGCAAAATATATTTTTTCACTTCGAAAGTGGCCGTGTGTCCAAGATGGGGATAAGCTTTATTCTTCTCAACTTTGATTTTCCATGTGCCCTAAGAAAGCCAAGTTGCAGCTGTTACAATTCTTCACTAAAAGAAAAACCTTCAAATATTACAATCTTTGAATTCTTACCGGACTCGGTTCTGCAGACAGTCCAAAAGTCAATTGAGCCATTCCATGTTCTGTACTCACGTTTGTCCATTGAGCTACTCTTATCTCAGATGGATTTTCTATCCATACTTTTGGAATCTGATACAGTTACGTGACATAAATGTACACAAGTTAAATAGGATAATTAATTAATACATTAATATATTTAATAGAGAATATATTCATACCGCTTTTCTATGTGGCTTCAAATCATGTTTCAACATAAGAATTCTAATGTTCACAGTTTGCCCTGGTTTATAAACAGACTTATCTGTCTCCACGAAAGACACTACAGAGTCATGATCTATGAAAACTTCCTTTTGAGCGTTCACTAGGTAATCAGGATGCTTGTTAAATTTCATTTTGACCCTCAGAGTCGCTATCGAATGTTTAGTCATTGGAACTATCAACTCCATACAAGCTTCCATACCTTTAAGCCAATATTAATGTCACATGAGTAGATGCATTTATCAATAATTTAAATTTTTAATTAAATAATAGATATAGAGAGCAACAAAAATCCAGAAAGCAACGGTACAATTATTACAACTTCCTATCTAAAATTTCTTCTGAGAGATATAGTAATCAGACTACTTGGAAATTCCAAGTCTCTCGACTGTAAATTGGCTAACACGAAAGTCTATATTTGTATCATCATGTATATTTAATTATATACACGATGAAACCTACACGGTGACTCTTCTTAACGACGTTAACTACGTCTCAAAAAATTAACTTGAATTGCTGAGTCTCAATAGAATTATACCAAGAAAATAATACTTCCATTCGACCCACGTTAACTTACTCTCTACCTATGTATATACATACAGTTCCAAGTAGCGTAATTAATTTGCATGGCAATCAACAAATCAATTATGCGTGATGTATGTGATACGAATAAATATAAACTTCGTAATAAATTTTGTAATACAGAAAAAAAAATTCATTTTGATGCAACATAAATTCCTAATTCTTGTATTGAATCAGTATGTAGTAATTTGCAATAAATTTTGAAGGTCACTTAAACATTTTATAAATTTTAATAAGCAGGACCAGTAATTTCAATGTTTTTATTTATTCCATAATTTTAATATTTTATTTATACGATCAATCAGTGCATACGTTCAGTATAGTTTAAGTTTCGTTTATGGTGTAGGGTGGTGGTGGTTCGACAGAGCAACGTCCGCTCGAATCTACACAGAGTGAATTATCAAGGAAAACAAATACACAAATGGTATTTTTCATTAGTATAGGTGTATCAGCAGTTGGATTGTGTTTGCCATATATATATATATATATAATATATGCACGATTGGATGAATAATAATACGATATAGTATGTGGATAGGTTTCCCATGTAAGCGCGATGGGTTATTACCCCTTGGTGTGGAGAGAGCCAAACCAATTCAGCTCCCTCGCAGGAAGCGACGACAATTTCAATTTACAATTTGTTTAAACATGCTAGCCTTCTAAGGGACGAGGTGAGGATACGTGATAGCCGCCATTATAAATGATTTATACAGATACTATTCCGACAAGGACGCCTTTCAATGCAAGGTCACGAATTCCTTCTTTACTTAATACGTGTTATTAGAGAACGATGAGTTTTTTTTAATCGCAATCTGTATAAAATTATTTTTTCTATTTATGCATATGCTGCTTTAATTTAGGATGTATAATTTATATTTGTGCTATAGATAATCCTAGACAGGTCTTCCTCGAATGTCCTTATCTTGCACGAAGCGAACGAATGTCGCGCGAATGACGCAGGGCAAAGATCTATAGATTCGTTTTTAACTTTTTCCGATTAAGAATATGCGTTGTTGGGAAGATAATTATTTTTTTAGGTTTTTGTAGCTATTTACAGCGTGTAAGTATAATAAAAATTGTTATGATACTCGATTCATGGAGATAGTGTGCCTTATCCTTATCCTGGATACTCGAGTGAGCTAATTACGTTGTCAAAAATTATTTTACTAAAGGGATTTCAAACTTGCCAGTCCTCAGGACCTCATTCGTTGTTGCCAGAATTTCCTCGTCGGAGCCATTTTCTAGAGTGAATAATTCTACTAGAACATGAGCTGGCAATTCCACATTATGCAAAGATACACATACAGTTTCCGCTTCGCCAGCTAATAGATGTTTTGGTGCAGTGAATATATAACCCCTGGAATTGAGATTTACGAATATTTAAATTAAAAAAGGAATAATCTCATTTAAAATTAGCTGATCGCATTGTCTATATATGATTTCTACAATTTATATTATTTTACCTGTTGACAGTGCTGCCATTACTGGAATATAACCATGCCAAAAGGCAAAGAAGCACAGCAATCCAGCCACTTATCATCTTACTAATTCGGATTTCCATTTTGATTAATTATTCAAAGTTCTTTGTTCGCTCTAATGTCCGAAACTAAGTCACGAACATATTACGAACGGCTTTGACAGGCCTGTTCGCACCTGAATTTTTATTGTATCCTTCTTATAATATATATATATATACATATATATATATATATATATATAACTTGGTCTATTAAATATATAAGAGACGTTAATATGACACAGTGAACACGAAGAGAACTGTTTGCGTACTGAATAACGAGACCGACTAGCAGAGGGAGACTTATTCAACTCCTCTTATCATTGTCAGTGTCAGTATTGATGTGATGCACGCGTGTATATATTTTCTCCGAACTTAACTACGTTTATTCGTATACTAAGTATACGGCTGTTACGGTCCACATAGAGTATAAAATGCATATATAATTTCAATGCGTATTGCGAAATTGTCGAATTATTGGTAATGACGCATGAAATTTGTAACTTTATTTCTTGGCAGAGAAACTAAAATATTATCAATTGAGTATACACAATTTGCGTAACTCTAAAAGTTTGCATACTTAAGTTGTATTATTTGGGACAGATTTGGTTCACAATTAGTAAAACTTTATAGGAATTTATGTAATAAAAATTCACAAAAGTACCGATGTTTTTTAATTAGTTTTAAAATAAACATTGATAAGCTTCCAGAATGTTACCAAATTTTTATACCATGGAGCCTGTTAGGAAACGTGACAAATTTAAACTTACAACATTCGATCTCAGCGAATCCGATAGGATCGCAGAAGTTTTTTATTTGTAATAGTAGTATTGTGTGTGAGTTCTGCAAGAGTGGATTTTTTCGAAACAGTAGAGGAGCAAAAAGATGCTGATGTTGTGATCCCAGATGTGACGACAGTTCAGCTTTGTTATCAGTACCATGTTCGTACCAACTACTATTGGTTTTCCCCTTGGCTTGATTAGTCATTCTTTCATTAAATATATCCTTAGCCGGAATCGTAAATAGTTAGGTATTCCCTTTTTATCGAAGGTATTAGAAGATTGTGTCATATTCATTATTCTAATGGATGCGGATATGTTTATATGTTTTTAATTTTTTTTAAAACAGGTTTGAAGATTATTAGAATAGAAATCGAACCCTGACTCCTTAGCTCAGACACGAACCTGCTAATGTTACACATAGACCGACTATAGGTAACAGACAAACTACTCTATTAGAGCAAGTACGGTGTATACTGTTTTATCTATGTGCAGGCGCTTTTTCAAAACCATTTGAAGCATGGTGGTAACTCACGTTACCACTTCGACTTCTTTAAATCTGGCACATTTTCTCATTGGAGGAGACAGCCATAAGGAAAGGAAGGAAGGAAAGACTTCTCTAAATTTTTGCCATTTTATTTCTAGTTCACACATTTAGGTTATTTTTTGCATTTTTCAGATATCTTAGCAAAAAAGAAGAACGTAAAAAAAGTCGAGTAATCATGAATATTTATTGTAAATATTTTATAAATAAACAAATATGTAATAAACGATTTTTTTGGAAAAGTTCATTATTGACAAAGTTTTTTAAAGTTATTTCTTGAAATTTTGTACAAAAGGCTTTTTGTGGTCGCCGATTACGAATACGTGGTATAAATTACTTACTCTTCACAAAGTGGAGCTAGAACTTGTCACATCCTCGTCCTTAGCTTTGTGTAGTGCCAAGAATTACTGAATTTTCAAATTATCCAATTTCAATTTTACATCCGTAATCAGTGACTCTAAAAACCATCCAAATTTATAATTTCACGAATAACATCGCGATTTTTTATTTCGGCGGTCGCTATCGGAAATCTGCCATTTTGAATTTCAAATCTGATAATGGACTCATAATCACCGACCCCAGAAACCTGTGTATACCAAACTTCATAAAAATCCAATCATCACAAAGATGTATACTTCGAAGGGTTAATAGACCAAATACTTGGCAAATCTATGCTAAGCCAAGAGCAGACATGTTAAACTATAAGATAAAACATATGTTAATGTATACAATTTTGATCTTTTCTAGGAACTTTTATGTTTTATCGAAAACTCGACTACAATTCATGGCATTATAATTAGTGGAACTGATGACAAGTATAAAATGATTTATGCAATAATTCAACACATATTATAATTGTACAAATTATCATTATAGTAAATATTCATTTATTTTTCATGTAAATGATGTATTCATACTTGACGTCTTATCAAAATTATGGAGTCAAATGAATGAAATCTTTCAGCTAAGTGACAATTTACGTAACTAATCCCTACTTCTCTCGTATATTCCCACTCCAGCTAAAGTCAGACACCAAATAGATACTATGGTAGTACAATTCAAACGCATAGCACCAGTTCTTTCTATGAAAGTTGTTTCTCCATTCACGCTCTAATATTGACTACTGTGCGTTACTTGATCTATTATGATTAATAAAAAGAACTAGAAACAAGAAGATCTGTTGTTGTATGATTCAACACCGAAAGGATTATTATTAGGAAAGTTATTCAGTTATTTAGTGTTCTTGCTTACCTGGTTAGTGAATCATTTGCAGATTTGTAAGTACAAATAATATATTGTACATATAAAAAATAAGAAGTACGTATAATGTATGATTTGTCTCTCTAAAGGCCATTCTACAATGCAATATAATAAGAAATAAGGAATAAGAAATAAGCAATAACATCTTCATTTGATATTCTATTCACATTCATATGAATTCTAAATAAAAATCAATTAGTTTTAATGAAAATTAAATATAAATTTTTTCTAATTATGACTAAAGGCGATTCTACAATGCAATATAATAAGAAATAAACAATAAGAAATAAGCAATAAGATCTTCATTTGATATTTACGTATTTTCATTGGATCCTCCAATCAAGGAGAAAATCGTTTTTAAAACCGAGCGTTTACTAAGTCTCTACGATTTTTATGACGTCTTGGACATAGCAACGATATGGAAGCGGTTGCTAGGGTCGCTAAGGATTTGACGGAGCACGAAACGTCATTGTCAAATGTCATTACCTGTCACCTGTCATGATCTGTCAATATATAAATATAAAAAAAAATGTGTATGCGTTTATTCATACAGATAAGTAAATCATTACTTCATTTTTAAAGTCACGATGACTTTTATCGTAGAGAAATTTCATTTCTCCAACGATATTGATAATGACCTCGTCTATAGAGCTGGTAATGACAGGTGACAGGTAATGACATTTGACAATGACGTTTCGTGCTCCGTCAAATCCTTAGCGACCCTAGCAACCGCTTCCATATCGTTGCTATGTCCAAGACGTCATAAAAATCGTAGAGACTTAGTAAACGCTCGGTTTTAAAAACGATTTTCTCCTTGATTGGAGGATCCAATGAAAATACGTAAATATCAAATGAAGATCTTATTGCTTATTTCTTATTGTTTATTTCTTATTATATTGCATTGTAGAATCGCCTTTAGTCATAATTAGAAAAAATTTATATTTAATTTTCATTAAAACTAATTGATTTTTATTTAGAATTCATATGAATGTGAATAAAATGACGTAATAATCACAATAACGTAACCATTGTTGTTTTTAGAACAAATAATGGGAAATATACTTAACCATATCCATGTTATCAATCCTAATGATGATGTTATCAATCCTGATACGGGATTGACAGGAAAACAAAAAAAAATTATACAATCTACTTGGATTACTATAAGCAAGGATTCTGCCACGTCAGGTGCTGCAATTATGTTGGCGTAAGTTTAGACTTATTGATTTTTTTGAATATAAGGTTATTTAGGACTATTGAGCCACCTGAAGATGATGATGATTCGACTATATATATAATAAACTATAAATGACATATATGATAGACATAAAAAAATGATAATTCTCCCTTTGATCCAATGCTTTTTTTTTAATATTACATATAAAATGAATTTCAAATCCACGGATGAATTAATAAAATACAATTTTTTCACAAAGTGAAATGCGATCTACCCATGTTGCGATATCGGATTTAAAAGTTAATCGATAAGGAAGCGCAAATACACAGTATTAAATATTACTAATTTTAAGTTTAATTTTAGTGTACTCAACTAAAGATTAGTCGAATATACTTAATTTAATATATATTTTTGTTTTCGTCACTGGACAGCGTGTGGTAGAATTCAGAAAATTCTATCCATTTGTCAAAATCCGAGTCCGATATCGCAATTCAAATATACCATTTACGGAATTGTTTTTGAAAATGAAATTTCAGATTATTAAAAAAATATCCTGAGTATCAGAAATTGTTTACCGCATTTTCCAATATTCCCATCGATGATCTTAAAAATAATCCCAAGTTTCGTGCACACGGGTCCGGTATTATCAATGCTTTATCGTCTGCAATTAATTCTTTGGATGATTCTGAATTACTGGCAGCTAAATTGACGATGTTAGGGGAAAGACATGCTACTCGTGGACAAACAAAGGAACAGTTTAATGTAAGTCATTGCAACATTATTAATTTAAGATCATTAAATATCATTTTTCATGTCATGCACATACACTTATACATATATTACAACTATTGGCATTCACCTTTGTAAAGAATAATTGAGAATTGACACTAGATTGCCCAAGGAAGTCATTTTGACTGCTTTTTAATTTCAATTAGAAAAACAATTATGTATATAATGACATAATTTCTTAGAACTTTGTGATTTTTTCTACAACATATAAATGCGTTTACTAATAATTGTAGTTACCTTCCCCTTCCTTCATTTCCGGTATATATATATACAATATATATATATATGTGTTATACCTATATTGCCCAAAAGCAGTCATTTTGACTGCTTTTTAATTTCAATTAGAAAAACAATTATGTATATAATGACATAATTTCTTAGAACTTTGTGATTTTTTCTACAACATATAAATGCGTTTACTAATAATTGTAGTTACCTTCCCCTTCCTTCATTTCCGGTATATATATATACAATATATATATATATGTTATACCTATATTGCCCAAAAGCAGTCATTTTGACTGCTTGGGAAATTTTAAATAATCAAATAACTCTTATTATTGAATTGAGTAAATTTCTTATATGACCAGTTCGGCTCTGTATTGAAATAACAGTTTTCTTTTTTTTTTCGATTATCGTCACATGATAACATACAAGTACCTGATAAATTGTCGATTTGGGCGTATACTTGATAAGTCGCAGTTGCTCAATAAGCTAAAGTAATACTTGTTATTCGAACCTTTATGCAGTGATACTTGTTCTAACAAGTCGTTTATTTTATTTCTTTTGCGCCCTAAATTCATGAATGAAATGTCGAATAGAAGTATATAACTGTAAATAATATAAAAAATATTGAAAATGAATTTTAAAGAAATTTCTTTACACATTAGTTATTCTTTCACAATGCAGTCATTTTGACTGCTTTGGGCAATATAGGTATATACTAAGTTTCGGTCTTTCTAGTGTTAAAGATGTACTGGGATATCTAAAATGTTGGGACAAGCATCTTATACACTGAAAAATTCCATGTACTTCACACCGTCATTCGTCAATTAGTCCGTATAAAAGTATCGTGTAAGGAACAGTGCAGGTTGCAGAAATATGTGGGCATTTCATTTGCATGAGAACTTATAAAATTATGCTAGACTACGATTTTTCATATACGAGACTATGGTATGCTCTCCTGTCCCCTTAATAATTTTGTTTCGTGTTTCAGGACTTGAAACCTATTATTTTGGAGGTACTGAAGGAATCACTAGGCTCGAAATTTACTTCTGAAGTTTCGGAAGCTTGGTCAAAATTAATCGATGGTGCCTATACGTTCATCTTTAAGGGATTCCCCAAGTAAACTTTAAGACGGAATAAACAATGCATTTTAAAGCTACCGTTAGTAGTACGAAAGTATATAGGTAAGGTTATGACTATTACTTTACAAACCTTTTTGGTTTTATGATATCAGATAAAATATTTCTGAGATATTGTGTTCGCCGTTTTTCAGAATACGTTCTAAGGCAACAGCCGTATCCCTACCTTTTTATAATATTTTATATTTAAAAAATGTATTTTATAACAGCGTACAAATAAATCCCTTAAAATATGATGGTTATTTTGTTTGAAAAATTCCGAAAATCATCCATGTCCTCAGGCGTGCTCCTAGCTATTGCCCTTAATAATTATATAATTTCCTTGGTTTGTAACCTCATCATCCTGTGTACGTATTCAAATATGTATAGAATACCTAACACATCACGAAGTTAAAAGTATAATCTAATGTCGTGTTGTTCAATGCTTTCAAAATACCTTGACAGTTTTGTCGGACTAGTCGTACTAGTTGAAAAACCCGGAAATCCAAATTCTTAATTGATGCAATCCTTTCGATTTAAAAATTTTGATCCATCAGGGGACTCAAATTTGACCGACTGTCTTTTGTATGACTGACTCTGGAAGTTTTTTTAACTCTTGACCGGTGTAGTGAAAATAATTACGTAGAATGTGTGGTGCTCCGCCCACTAAGAAAAAATAAACAAGCTGCAAGTTGATACTTGCAATTTGCTTCCTCCGAATCGTAAGTAGTGTACCAAGTCCCTATGTGAGGATGCCAAGAATTTTAATTTTGCAATTTGCTTCCTCTGAATCGTGGGTAGTAGATGAAAATTCATCTATGAGGAAGCCAAAGATTAAAAAAAATGAAAATGCTTCCTCATATAAGGACTCCGTACACTACTTACGATTCGGAGGAAGCAAATTGCAAGTTTCAACTTGCAGCTTGTTTAACGTGAGTCACCATGCCTCTCACAACTTGGGGTGCTTCATACTGTAGAGATCGCATGTAAAGATAAATGATCTTGCATGATCTCTTCGAGCCTAATATCTTTGAATTTGCTGAAATTCAAAAACTTTAATATACGTATAATCAGATCCGTTTTAACGATCTCCGCCAAATTTGAGACATATCACGGCTAAATGATACTTTATACTTTTCGAAAATTGAAGCTCAATCGGTCAAAGTTGACGGGAGTTATATTGATAAATTTAATTTTTCGAAAAATTCAAAATATCATAAAATCAAAACTTCTCGATAGATTCGGCCAAAATGCAATACCAGCCAACCTTGAATACCTTGAATCTCTTTGCCAAGAACTATTTAGACGATTATCACAAAATTTGCGATCGCTAGAGTGATAACGTCCTTTTTTTGGGAACTTTAAAACGACATAAAATGCGAGCCGCAGCATGAACCATGACGACAATCATAGTCAATGAAGGGTTTATAGAGCTGCATATGCCTGCAAAATTGGGGGGCTGTAGCTAAAACTGTTCTCGAGTTAAACACGTTTGAATTTTGGGAGGCCATTACACACACACACACACATCCGGACATTTTCTCCAAACGTGTTTTCTCGACGTTTTGGCACATTCTGAACATGGTGACATGAAAATCTCGACAGGACAATTTTCCACCGTCACATAGCTTCCTCTATGAGGAAGCAAAAATACCAGAACTATAAGTGATCGAACAATAATTAAAATACACATAGTAGAATTACTACAAATCCTTAAAAACATGAAATAAGCAGGAGTGAACAGCAGCTGAAGTCAGAAATATATAGAATAATTAAATGATTGCACCAACATTTTTCGTTATTCGAACAAGAAAGTGAATACTGGGATGTCTAATACCCCACCATACATTTTAAGGGTTAAGACTATTATACAATAAATCGTAACCATAAGTCGCCGTGAGTCGTTTTTACAAATGAATCGGAACAGTGAAAGAGTAGAGAAAATAATTCTTATTGCCTTGTAGAAAGCAGATACGACAAAGACCTACGACTCATTACAGTCTGGTCTCTAACTAGTTATACTATATAATAAGTTACGCATGTTATGTTATGTAATACGCATACCATGTTTCAATAAAAATGCTAAAGGGATAAGCCATATAGTGTCAACAGCTATCTCGTAGCTTCAATCACAACAATCATAAATTACACATAATTTCTGCATTATCTTTATTGAACTGGAGTGCACACATATTTGCCCACAAGTATTGAAATACTATTTTCTTAAGGAGTAATTGCGAAGTAGGAACATAAGATGCAGGCAAAATCATAACACAGGCATCTTACAAGTTCTAAGTATGCATGCAAGCCACACCTTCGTTTGTCAGTCATTACACGTAATTTTGTCATGTAAGTAACAGTCCAGCTTGTAGAATATCCGTGCACTGCAATTGCATCAAAACTTATTATTATATTCTTATACATTACGATACTCTATTTTGCGGTTGTGATGCACTCCCTAGTTCCCCTAACGATTGAATCTGAAGATATAAATCTGATTATTTTTTATTAAATAATTTTTAATCTTTTCACTTTTCTTATTGTCATATTAATTATTTGTCTATTATTCTAAATTTTTGAATTCTATTTGATCATTTCAAAAAGATAAATTATGATTTACATAAAACATACTGAAGTATCGTCACGATAATGATAAAAGGGCAATAATATAAAGTAATCAATTGCATAATTTACTGTATTGTCACAGTGACTCTGTAACACTCATTGCAATTCGATTGTAATACGTATATCGCAAGGACGTACAATGTTCACCATATACTGATTTCCTTATCAATTGGTATTCAACTAGATATCACGTACTTGTATTTATGAAGGTGAAATCCATGAACGTTTTACTTATCCCGATTGGAAAACACGCATCATTAAAATTACTGTTAAATAATATATTATTTTCTCTTTATTGCAATCACCTAAAACATTAGATTATTTAGTTAATCTATCGCTCAATTTTGCACATTTATCATGTATCTTCGAGTGGAATTTTAAACTTATCATTAAAGAACATACATAGTGTAGGTAGAATATATTGTCTACTAATAATAACTTATGCAATTAATACATAATACGAAATTATAAATAATCTTATATCCGCGTGAGAAAACAAATTCGATAATGACCTTCAAAAAATATTCAAAGTGATTCTTAGTTGCATTTCGTTTTCATCACATAGACTTTCATTGGCGCAGCTATCTTGTTTTACAACTCACGACTCTATGATCTTTCAAAACATCATGCAGATCATTCTAGCAGTTATGACGGACAAGTTAAAGGGTTATATGCAACGTATCCGTGTTAGTATCGGTACTGATGTATGTATTGTTGTAATCGAATATATCATTTTTCCTAGCGAATCTTCCTCTACTTGCAATTCGCCACTCATTGTAAGTTACAGTTGTCCTCGAGTAATTTTTTACTTTGTAGTTTTTATTTATCTTGAACAAGAAAATAAAATCAATAACGGTAAAAGCAGAAAAATTAGACCAAAATTTCATCACCTGTATTAGGCCTAGTAGGGATGATGGAACTTCATTCCGATTCTCAGTTCATTTTCTATTTGTGTTCCGAGCACGCACACAAATGCAATAGTATCTTAGGAAGCATATGTGAGGAAGTGTGCGTACACCGCAAAATCTAATACTAATATAGTTAAATGTTAGTTAGCATGTGTGGGTTTGTATCGTACATATAGAGCAAATGTTTATCGAGGGCTTATGGCGTGAAATACAGATAGCGCAAGTAATAACAACACGTGTTCGATAAGATATTTGTATGCACGGAGCGAATGTATAGTGTAAGTAGACTGTATGGATAGTTCCACAGAATTCACTAAATTCATAGACTAAATTTTTGAGGACCTTCTGTATACAACAGCTCGATTAAAACTAGAACTTACATGCTTCTTGTTAGAAAAAGGTGTACTTACAATTAGTCTAATGAGAAATGGGAATTTTTCGGACAGAAAGGGAGGATTTTCTATGTTGTTGGGGAATTTGTATTTAAAAATGCAAGGGATAAGAATTTGTGTATTTTTTAATGGGAGTTATGAGAAATACGATAGGAAAGTAGTGGGACAATTTCGGGGTAACAGTTTCTGAATATTATATTTAAATTATATAGGATTGCAATTTAAAAATTAACATGAAATGCATATATGTACATACTTATTTCGCTTTATGTGTATTAGTTCCATAATAAAATTTTTAGGCTGCGAAGCTTATACGAGAAAACACTTTTTAATGATAGCATTATTGTTGAGATTGTTTATTGTGATTATTTGAAGTCTTTTATATTAAAAATAATTTTTTGTGAACAAATCCATTCAATGTGTTAAAACAAATTACATAGATTTATTATTTAATATTGATTATTGAAGGTTTTACATATTGTTAATTTACAAATAAACATAATAACGTACCAGCGTTCTGCGCAGCTGTATTGTTCAATAATAATATATTCTCTCTTGAATGTTATGCATTTTGATTGCTAATTTCCATGCTGTGATAGCATGGCGCATAAAATATGACACCTATTGAATTAAGTGATACTCCGTAATGGTTGGAATCAAGAATTGAACGTGACTTTCATTTGAATTTGTATTATTTCTTAAGGTAGTTCAGTAGGAAATTTCTGATGTTAAATACACATTTGTATTTAATTCTTTTAAATCCCGAAATAAATATAAAAATGTACTGAATAATATTTATTCATTTTAATATATAGCGGTGTGTAAGAATAATTGTTTCAATAGGCAATTAATAATACTTTAAAGCATTTATAAAACGATATTTCAGTAGTTATCATTACCTTATATAAACATTAAATTGAAATTAACAAGTATCGTTTATTGCATTTTTATATTTATTTCAGTATTTTTTAAATTATACACACATCTGTATTTGACTTTGTAAATTCTCCAGCAAACTTCTTTAACAACTCTATGTTGAAATATGAAGAGTTTTCAGGTTTTAAAATACTTTTAGGATCATCAACTTCACAGCAATTTTTCCAAATTGTCAACAAGTTTTTTCGTGTTTCGGAAATCCGATTTAGTTAAGTTCCTTTGTTGTTCCGCGATATGGAAATAAACAAGTTTGAACGACATACCAAAAATGGTACTTCCTTATCGATGTGTGCTTACCATCTATAGATCTGTTATCAATAGTAGATAGTGTCTAAATTTAATTAGATTGCTAAAATCGATAATATTAATACAATTTTGGAGTTCTTAAATAGTAATATTCTTTTTTTTCCATTTTGTTTTCATAATACGAAGTAGTAACAAGTAATAAAACAGGATTGTCATAAGATTTATTTATTAATATTATATATCGATGGGATATACTGTAACATGACAAATCGATCAACCTCTCTGTACTCCTGTACTGAGAGCGTACTCATTACAAACAAACAATAAGGACGCGCGGCTAGTGTCAACAATAGCGGATAGATGAAAAACATCTCCCGAAAGATAATCCGCTAAAAATAATAGAAGTAAACTCCGATAGATGATTAGCGCTTCCCGCTAATTAATCTAGCATTCCAATTAGTTATATAATGCATTTCAAATCAAATTCAATATTCTACTTCTAATTCTAATTCGAATTCTAAAAAGTCAACATTCTACCAGTACACCGAACGTGAGTAACAATATAGTAAGCGTGATTTAAATCCGAAAGGATAACTCACAGTAAAATCTTTATAAAGTGTTTGAGCTCGATTTATGCCCTCTGAGATAGAGCATAGTAATTGCATAAAATCGTTATTAAAAATTTTATCGGAGGCTACGGCATATTAGCGATCGCTATTCCGCCGAGCCCGTCGTGTACTTAGAAAAACATTGTCAAAGTTCTGAGGAGAACACTGTAATCTACCTCAGAAATTTCAGTTCACGCCACATTGATTTCGATCTTCGCCGTGATTAGTCAATTTGCACGTTGTGCCATTGCCAATAGATAGGCAGAGCGCCACTAGGGCTACCGTATAAACACAGGTGCATCCTCTGTTCCTCAAAGACAAGTCAGAGAGAGATAGGAATAGACAAACAAATATAGAACGCTTCCCTGACAATCCTTTCCTACCATACCGACACTGATATTGACGATTGTACTTGACGCACATCGAGAAACTGCTGTACCTGTCTTCGATAATTTAATAAATTTTTGTTCTTTTATTTTACCATTTAACGCTGTGTCGCCTAAGTTCTTAAAGACGCCAGCCCCGACACTTACCTACATCCCACTTCAAACACTGATAAGTAGCGTACGAAATTGCACTATCGATAAGCGTTACACTAGTTATTATATTGCTAGATTTTTTATCTAATATTAATGTAACCATTAAATCTCACATGTGATATATTGTGTTTGTTATATATCAGTTATATTGAATGCTATATTACGTATAATACAGCTAACCAAAAAATAATAACTTTCTTGCGTATTGCATGCAATATTCACGCTGCATTACACGTATTACACGTTATCTTGTTTATATATAGTGGGACCACAACGTCAGTTCTACTTTCGGGTGGCTTATTTACGTTTCGTATCGTAAGAAGATGGCTCCTCAAAGTGTAATTGATGCCACGGTTCGACTTTAAATGCTTCATAATTATTATATTGTTGTGTTTTCTGGAACATAGATGGTGACGTCATTTAACGTTATCATATTTAAAAAAATAAAGTACGTCACTTTAAGATATCTGTAACATAAATATTAGATGTATAAACAACAAGATCTAAAAGGTCAAAATTTTATTTACGATACGTATTGCCGGTCCAGGAGTTCATAGTGTTCTTTTTTGACAGATCGAGAACAATGAACTCTTTAGCAAGTAACACCTGGCTCTTAATAGAATTTTTTGTACAAAGTAAGCATGTACCTGATTTTGCACTGAATTATATTTTATTTTTCTATCTTAGCATACATTACCATAACTTTATGGAAATTCATGTGTGACTTGTTAACGATTTAAGAACTGTCAAAAAAAACATTGAACACGTTGACTGTGTATATAATATCATTTAATTTCTATTTTTCAATTATGATCGTTACTTTTATCTGAAATATGAAAACTTAAAAAATGTAAGTAATAATAATATATTACAATAATATTTTATGAATTTTTAGTATAATTGTGACTTAGCTATATATGCATATAGTTTGATGTAAAATTTTTAAGTGTAATAAATAAAGATGGAGTTGAATTAAGAAAACTGGTTGAACCGGGCCCCTGTATTTCTAAAGACACTGTTGAATCATACAATCCTGAACCCTCAATCTATATTTAAACAGAGTGAGGCCGCCGGCTGTACCAGTCAAACTCTCGACCACAACCCATCGGTGTGTGTCATTTTGAAATTCTTTAAAAGAAGAAAAATAAATCATCTCTTTTCGGTATAATCGTTAGACGTAATAGTTCTTGAAATATTCCTCGTAATATCTCAAAGGTCATCCCGTATACTTTATTATCCCGAGTGAGTCCAATTAAATTGAACTTGGGATAACGAGGTGGAATGAGCGTTTAATGGGATGAAAATTATTCGAAAAACAAGGTCTTTGAGAACGAAGAAAAAAAAGTAAGAAGCAGGAAAAAATACGCAAATAACGCAATATATATGCACATAAGCACACGACGGAATAATATCTATACATCTATACACATGCGCGTATCCTTATTATTCTATCAGACTCGATTCGCATCGCGCATAGAAATTACTTGACAGTTCGTATCGCGCGGTCTATGTCCACTTCCATTATTTATAGTGCTATTTTCTTTATTGTTTAGTGTTAAGTTTTTTGTACTCTAATTTTTCTCAGTATACTGTGTCAATTCTTTTTCTTTTTAAGTATGGGCTCCCTAGTGAGTTACTTTTGGGGCAATACGAATGATGCGGTAATCGATTCTGCTACAGGATTAAGTGGAAAGGAGAAAAGACTTGTGCAGGAATCTTGGGCAATTATTAGAAAGAATCCTGTTGACGCAGGAGTAGCGATTATGTCAAGGTGAGATATTATGGAATTTTATTTTTATTAATTTATAATTTTTTGTTATGGATCGATTCCAGCGAACAAATAGTAACAGTTTCGGTAATATTAAAATGTTTCAACTCGATGGTATAATAATTATTATATGTACATACACAACTATTATATCGTTGAGTGGGAAATTGTAGCAAGCTTTGCGTTTACTTTATTATGATTACAAAATATGTTTCGATTGCTTACAGATTCTTTAAAGTTTATCCTCAGTATCAAAAAGTCTTTCCGTCGTTTAAAGATTTACCTGTAGAAAGTTTACCTGGAAACAAGAAATTTCAAGCTCACTGTCAGAGTATTGTTACCACTTTGAGTAATGCTTTTGATTCTTTGCACGATTCTGGTTTATTAGAAGCTAATCTTCATATTCTTGGAGAGAGGCATGGCAGACGTGGACAAGGGAGACAAGAATTTATAGTAAGTACTTGTAATAACTTTGTTCGTAGCATATTTTGTTCTATATTTTATTTATTCCTGTAAATATATTCTTTTGATAGGATCTCAAGGAAATTATTTTAAATGTTTTAAATGAATCGTTGGGCGGGAAATTTGATCTGGAGACTGCGGCAGCGTGGGACAAAATAATGGATGTTATTAATGTGGAAATTTTTAAAGGAATGGAAAAGTAAATAAATTATGATTAAACTTTTTCTTACTTGGAAACATCACATGGAATATTGAAAGCAATATTATTTAATTTGGAAAGATTTGGGTAAGTAATTTGAATTGTTAATCAATATTTTTCTTTATTATTCAAAATTCTTTTAGGTATATTGTTTTGTAGGAACAATGAGAAGGGTGTAATTACGTCAACTAATGGATGCTTTTCTTCGAACCCTCCCTAGAATCTGCGTCATGATGTTTATATTTGTTTATAATTAATTTTTCGAAATTTGTAATTTTTATAGTACTCAGAGCCTTTTAACACTTTTAATGTAACACTTTTCAGGAGAAATTATATGTACGACGTACATTAAAAGCTTTGGTATAGTTAAATTAAAAAACTATATATTATTACAAGTAAAAGTACTTTATTATTCAGATAGATTTTCGATAATGAACTTTCGATGTAATATATTTCCACGGACTTTTCATATTCTCGCAACTATTATATATTTCTAATCGACACAGTATAATTAATGCATAAATTATCTTAATTACATTCCATTATATCCTAATATTAATATTGTTCATTAGACTTCATTCTATTCGACGATACTTTGTACCTCTTTGATTCGCTTACTCACGCTCAACAATTGTTTTTCTTTTATTTGATAGCTGTCAAAGTATGTATATTGTCTTATTTAAGGTTGACATATTACGAGAAAAAAAAGTAAATAGAACATTTTTTTATTATCTAATGTTCATTGATTTCGGAGCCAGCTACCGTCGAACGGCTTCCAACAGCTGTCAAAATTTTGTAATTGTGAAATATTGCGACGGTAATTCACAACGTTCGCTAGTAAGACTGTCAAAACATAATTTTTGAAAAATGTAAAAATATCTCGATCGATCGTTTCGACGTTCAAAAAATCAAGGCCATCGTTTTTGATATTCAGGTCCCTTCAATTATTGATTCGAGGTCCGGGTGCATAGCATTTATCGTTGTCTTAATCCAAATGCTTCTGGTTATCGTTTCTTATGTTCAGAAATTCATAACTATTCTCCAAATCAACGTTCCGTGTGTCTAATTATACCCGTTCTGGTTACCTAAATGTTCCTGACTTAGTCGGTCCCGACTTAGACTTCAAATTGTAATTCCCTATGTCCGGGTACCCTTAATCTGAAAATAGTTGCATTATTTTCTTCTACATTTGAAAAGCAATAAGACCATACATATGTCCAAAAGTCTTCTTTAAAATGTCTTAAAGATAACTTCTATGCCATTAGTGCAGTCAATTTAGATGTCGCATATGAAGTTGAATTTCAGAGTATGAAAGTTACACCTCAATTTTGAGGGCCAGATTAATAATTAATAAAAAAAAGAATCTAAAACTTGCGCCTAACCGACTTTTACCCTCCATTTTTTCACTATTACTCAATCAAAAAAATAAAATTACTAATTTATAGCGGGGAAAATTTACCATCAAATTCAGTCGGAAAACTATGGGAGAAAATGCACGGTTCATTTATTATAATTTTTTTAAGTAATTTGTAAGCATTTTTTGTCAACGCGTCAGCCGATCAGTGCGCTATGTGTCATGGCGTCTGAGCCTGAGTCACGTGATGCGCGCCATACGCAGCTTGAACGTTTGAATAAGCATTGCGTTATAATTTCTTAGACACCCCACGCGCCGACACCCAGTTTAACCGGCAATACATATACCTATATAAGTTCAAATAAATTGTTGTGATCATTGATTCTAGGGACCATCAACAGTTACTAACAAGGAAACCCCCCCAATCCAGCTCAATCCTTATTATTCCCCTGTCGTTGCCAAACTGGGAAACTTTTGGCACAAAGATTATAACTATATATACGAAGGAAATAGAATCCAGCTTTCATCTCAGTATCAACTGATCGGTCGAATTTTTGCAGCTGACGAAATCACGACTTGTTTGCCTGTAATTTGTATCCTTAAACTTTGTGCCAATCTCTTACAAGGAAACCCCCCCAACCCGACCCCACCGATTTCAATAATTTTTTGATATGTTGTAGTACTCGACAAAATAAGAGACACGTATTTTTTTTTTGTGCTGACATCCACTTTAAAGGGGTGAAAACGACCCCTGAAATTCACCCCCGAAAATCGTTTTTTTATCATATCTCGACTTCTAATTAATATTTTTTAATAAAACCACGTGGAAAATATTTATCATAAGAAGTCGAATACAAATATTTTCCACTTGGTTTTATTAAAAAATATCAATTAGAATCTGACATATGATAAAAAACAATTTTCGGGGGTAAAATTTAGGGGTGGTTTTTATCCCTTTGAAAAATCCTGAAACACCCCAACTGAAATATTTGATGGAGTTAACGGAAACGCTTTTCTTTATTTTTTTGAGCGCATACCCCGGTTTTTATGCAGAAAAAGAGCATAAAAAATATAGTTTTTTCAAAATATAAAATAAGGGTTGCAACCCCTTGGGTCATTAACAAACCTCATATCTTCGACTTCTTATGACAAATATTTTCCACTTGGTTTTATTAAAAAATATTAATTAGAAGTCGAGATATGATAAAAAAACGATTTTCGGGGGTGAATTTCAGGGGTCGTTTTCACCCCTTTAAAGTGGATGTCAGCACAAAAAAAAATACGTGTCTCTTGTTTTGTCGAGTACTACAACATATCAAAAAATTATTGAAATCGGTGGGGACGGGTTGGGGGGGTTTCCTTGTAAGTTTTATATGGATATGTGTTCTTTTCCATAATGATTCAATTTTAAAGGATATTACAAAAATTTCTCTTCCAATAAATGTAAAACGTAATAAATGCAATATTGGAGGTAGAAGAGTCTTATTTCATTTGTTGTCATACATGAAGGAAGCCGTATGTGCTATTTCATATACATATATGACGAAATACCATTGCATTAATCCTAATGTTGCTCATGATTTCAGTTTCAGGCTAGAAGCGACGTAATCTTGAAAGTCAATAGTGTTTTGCGTTATAAACAAATTCGTCAAAATTTTAGTTGACTCAAGTGGCACATATTTAAATAGTTGGGTTAAAGACATTCTACCTGCAGATTAGCCACCTAAGATACTGAAATAATTTATGAACTAAAATAATCAAGAGACGCGGTAGCGTCTCGACGCCAAGTATTAAAAGAAAAAATCGGCCTCCTCACGAGACGCTACCGCTACTCTTATTGACGCCAAGTTGGCGCTTTTTCGTCTGCTACGATGAAATAACTTGAATTATTTGCGGGTATATGTCGTGGGCGAAAAATGTGTCAGGTCCAATATTTTTCTTTTTTTTTTTCTTTACAATGAGCCTTTGCCCAATAAAATCGGTTCCCGCAATGCTGATATCTGGCATTTTAGCAATATCAGTCGAAAAATTTTTCTCAATTTGTCCCCTCTCACACAATCTTAACAAATTTATCCCCTCGTATATACGTATGAGCTTCGACGCGACACAGGCATAACGATTCGAGACGCG